CATCCAGGAATTAAAACAGCATTATATGCAGACGATGGAGCAATGTGGAAGAGGGGAAGAAATGTTAAATATATAGTGCAAAAAATTCAAGAAGCAATTGAGAATGTAGAGAAATGGTCAGTGGAATGGGGATTTAGATTCTATATATCCAAAACGTGTAGTCAGTTTTTTACTAAAAAGAGGATTGCAGAAATATTAAACTTTACTGATGGGACTTTGGTGTATACCGCAGAATTGGTGGCAATTCAGATGGCAAGAAGAAGGGTGGAAGAAGTGATGCCAAAAAAGTTGTGATATGTTCAGATTCAATGGCATCACTTATAAGCCTACAAACATATCAAACAGTTAGAAATGATATCTATATAGAAATATTGAATATTTTGTATAGATTACCGGGTAATGAAAGATCTGATAAAATGGCTAAAGAGTCACTTAAACTGAACATCCTTGCATTAAGTAGGATGGAAGGAAAAAGTATCATTAAAGAAGCTTGCAACCAGAAATGGCAAAGAAAATGGAATGAATGTAAAACAGGAAGACATTTTTATAATATACATAATACTGTACGACAAAGTATATTGACACAAAATAGAGATAATCAGGTTATTTTAACAAGACTAAGGATGGGACATACAAAACTTAATTCTACACTTTATATTATAGGGAAACATGGTACAGGATTATGCGAAATATGCCAAGTAAAGGAAACAGTGTTGAGCAATCAATAACATATTAAACACAAAACAAGGATCCGGGGAAATTATAAGGTCAGTTTTAAAATTCATTAAGCATAGTGGTCTTAGCAGGAATAGAATATAGACATCTTTTAACATACATCTAGACTGAAATCACTTCACACTCCAGCACATGTGGTGGCGGTATGCACCATAAAGTTGGTATGTGACCCGCCACTGAATCCAAAGAAGAAGAAGAGATGCATAAGAATATTTTCCCGAGATAACCGTTTAAATTGAAGTGTATAAGTCATTCTCATACAGTAGAAACACATTTTGGTATTGTTTCTGGAGTTGATAATCTATTAAAACAACACACAACAAGATAAAAACACTTTAAGGTCATACAACATGGAGGAAATGCAAAAGGAGCATCAAATGTCATTTCAAATTGAATAAAAATAAAGATAATAAATAATGGATAAAATAAGAGTTAAAAGTCAGAGCTTTTAAGAAAAAAAAACGTTTTTGAGTTTTTGCAATATTTTCTTTCTTGTTTAGGTTGGACCCCCAAAAGAAAGATGCCCTAATTTCCCCCCTATGGACCCCAGGGCACTTTCTGCTGTAAGTGAATTTTTAGTATTTATTGCAAAATCACATACATTCATACTGAAAAAACCTAATCACATTTAAGTTTTAGATCCTCCTTTCTTTTTAGACTTTTGTAATCCTGGCTGCATATCTGTGGTGTAATGGTGAAGACTTGTTGACTCATTTCCAAGACTGTTTTCCCTGTAGGTTATTAAGCCACTTAAAAGAGAGGTTCTGTTCATGGATTCCCAATATTCAGTCAGGGGACAAGGCTTTGCACAAGGACTTTATCGAAACATCTTAAGGTTAACTGTTTGCAATGATGTTAGTCGTGTTCCCCAGACTTGCTCAGATTGTTTGAACTACTGCTGTTTGCTAGTCGTGTTCCTCAGACTAATATGTTCTGTAGCTCAAAAACAATGTGTTTCTCAGCAGAACTTTTTTGTGTGTGTGCTCCGGTAATGAGAAGTTACTGATGCCATTTTTTGTTTTTATCAGGTCCATAGGCGGAGTTTGACATTCGAGCCAGGGGGGGCAAAAAAAAAAAAATCATTGTAGCATTCATTCATTCATTCATGTAGCAATCATTGTCGTTCGGACACAATTAGGATAAATGAAATGTGGACCACTTTTGCACTGTTAAAATATTATCTTCAACCAAAACAAAAAGATTTTTAGTTTTTCTTTTCTTTCCTTTTTTCAAAACACATTGTGGCAATGAGAGTGATTAAAGTTATATTTCGCATTTTATTGTACTTCATGAAACATTTAAAACATTTTGAGACACGGGAAAAATGAACAGTCACACAATAGCCTACTCTCCACGTTTGAAACACAATTGTGGCAATGAGAGCGATAAAAAAAAAAAAAGTTATTTCGCATTTTGTTGTAGCCATTTCATGAAACATTTAAAACATTGAGACACGGGAAAAATTAACGGTCACATAGCCTACTCTCCACTTTTGAAACATATTGAACAGCATATTGAAAGCAGTGTGTTGAGTTTTTCTCCATCTTAAGCAGTTATTTGGCAGAGAAATAAAACTTACAGACCTAGATATTGCTCAGACTAGTGCAACAGTAATTTTCGTTTTTTTGCGTCCTGCGTCGATAATGGTCTCAGGTGAGAGCTTGGCCGTAATGTCGCTTTCGATGTGAAGGATCGCAAGAGAAGAAAACCTGGCTGCTCCCATCGTCAACCGCAGCCTGTTCTTTATCCTCTCATGGAGAGTCGGCCTGGCATGAATAATACAGCGGTTTTAGTCCTTTTTGGGGATCCATGTGAACGGACGTGTCTGTACGCGAAAAACACACAGGAAATTCCTCACTTACCGCGATACTTTGAGATCCGCCAGTCGTGAGAAAATTAGCTTCTTTTTCAATACAGTAATTAAAAATAATTTAGCCTTAACTTACTCATTATACCCGCAAAAATGATAAGATAAGACAAATAAAATGAGAAAATATGAATACAGTATTTTTTTTTTTTTTCAAAGCACAAGGCAGGCATTAATTGGCTCTGGTCTGGGGGGGCAGTGCCCCCCCTAGCCCCCCCCAAACTCCGCCTATGATCAGGTCTGTTGCACACCACATTGTCTCTGGACCATTGACAGAATTAACAGGCCTGGAAGTTGAGGTAAAATATCATTTGCAAAGGACATTTGTCTGCATATAACTTTTTTATTAATTATTGGTTTGTCACAATTGGGCTATTACTACTTTAACTATTTCTCGTTTTACACTTACAACTTGAACACCCTACAAACCACCAAGCAAGACCCTTTCACGCTAACGCAAATCTCAAAATCTTCAAGCTTTTGTACTTTGTAGTTTGTTGTTTATTAAACATATTTATTTTTTATTTATATTCAAAAGCATACGGAACTGTTCTCTAATCGTTCTCGCGGTAATTTCATGTCATACACCGATGCTCTCGCTGTGCTTTGATGTACATACCTCGTACACTACAGTGCTGCTTCAAGTGGAAAAATCTGAGCAACGTAACTTGGCGTAACTTGAAGAATTGCAGGCTGCAGACAGATTATATTGCTGGCTTCGCCCCATACATACTCTGATTGGCCCGATCCTCTTTCAAAGGCATAGGCCTACATGCATGATAGGAAATGTTGTCGGTGTAGGACCATAGACAGTGTGTAGGACGGAGTATATGTCGTTCAAATCTATATGAACTTGAAAAGATGCGGGTTTGAATAATTTAAATTTAGTATTTTTGAAGTGGACGAATGTTTTTGAGTAGTCACTATTTACAATGGCAAGCTTGTCTGAAGCTTTTGTTTAAATAAAATTGTATTGGTATTTTGTAAGGATAATGAAGACTCAGATTTGACTGACATTCCTCAGAGACTCCAACATTTCAGATTAAAGACATCTCTAAAACACAGAGAGTAATGCATAATTACTACACAGTCCATACACCATAATGACATAGCAAATTTTTTTAAATAAAAAATAAAATAACGTTACAACTTTGCAAATGTATTAAGAACGAAAACCTTAAATAAGTACATTAGAAGTATTCAAAACTCAGTAGGCCTACTTAGTTAAAGGGATAGTTCAGCCAATTTTTTTGTTGTTGTTTTTTGTCATCTGTATGAGTTTCTCTCTTCTGTTGAAATAAAAATAAGATATTGGTAACCAGACAGTTGACCAGAGAATATTGTTTTCTCACAGTCTGAAAGAGTCCTTCAGGTGCTTTTTTGCAAGGAGAGGCTTGCACTCTGCCATTAAGCCAAGATTGGTTGAGTATTGCAGTGATGTTTGTCCTTCTGTAAATTTCTCCTATCTACATACAGTACATCAGCTAAACCAGAGTGACCAGCTTTTTGGTCATCACTCTAACCCAGGCCCTTCTCCATCAATTGCTCAGTTTGGCCAGGAGGCCAGCTAGAGTCCTTGTTCCAAACTTGTTCCAAACTTCTTCCATTAAGGATTGTGGAGGCTACATGCTTTTGTGAATCTTTAATACAGCAGAATGTTTTTTTTTTTTTGTAGTCTCCCCCAAATCTGTCTTGACACAATCCTGTTTCTGAGCTCTACAGTCAGTTCCTTTGACCTCATGGCTTATTGGTTTTTGCTCTGATATACAATTTCAGCTGTTAGACCCTTTATGTGGAGGTGTGTGTGCCTTTCCAAATCATACCCATTCAATTGAATTTGCCACAGGTTAACTCCACCCGAACTGTAGTAACATCTACAAGCGATATTACTGAATGCTCCGGAGCTGAATTTCAAGTGTCCCAGAAAATATGAATATGCAATGTAATTATATATTTTTTTTAAATGTAAATATAAATTTGCAAAGGTATTACAAATCTGTTGTTTGCTTTGCCATTATGGTGTATAGAGTGTAGATTAATGTGAAAAAAAGTAATTTAGTAGTTTAAATAAGGCAGCAAAAAAGATAAAATTGAATATTTTTAATACTTTCGCAAGCCACTGTATATTTATGCACATTTGTAAATAGTTTATTCTATTTGATTATATTAATTCTTTATCTTTAGTATTATACTCTGCAAATGATGGGTATTTTTTGCTGAATTCTATTGAACACAACAAACTTGCACGCTACGTTTACATGTTACGTCAGTTTATTAAGAGCGTTTCAGACAGGGAAAACCACCCATTAGTCACCAAGCTATTAAATCTTATAAACCGTATACTTTTTTCATTTAACATTATTTTTAATTAATACATCATTAAAAAAGAACAACAGTGTTTTAATACGGCGCCGTTGTCTCTCACAGAATGTTATAATGGACGCGAGCAGTTATGACACCCCTCCGCGCTGCTCATATTGGTATGAGCCGCTTCGCACGCTGACTGGAAACATGTGGTTTACTGTGTTTTTTGGATAGTGGAGTCTCAATTTGCCGGTTTGTCATGTAGACAAACACATCGCATATTTTGGTCAATAACTCAGTGATACAGTCTGTAAAACGACTCAAGACCAAGAACACACAGTTGTCACCCCGACAGACAGGAACTGAAGGGCCTTTAACGGTCTCTCTGGATCAGACAGGTGAAGCCTGTGATTCGTTATCTTCCATCTGCTCAAGGTACGTCTTCTTTTCAATCTAAATAATTAATCTAGTTATACATCTGCACAGATTGTAACGGTTATTCGACAGGTTTTGGGGAATTCCAGATTTGCTTGTAAAGTAAGCAGATTGCCACGTTGCAACGGTGCTGATTGCATGACATTGATTAGAAGAGAGTCACTTCCCTTGACCCCTCAAGAATCGTATTCATTTAGGATCCGATCTGTTTGACATGGATCTGGGCGTTTAAATCTATACCGGGGATGTCTGCTGCAACGTGGGCTTGTTGGAGGCGCAGTTCACTTGGCGCCCTCACAGTGGCGCTGCTGCGCCACTTTAAAAATGAGAATTCAGTATGTTTTTTAGACCAGTCAAGCCAAAAGTGACACTGCATATTATATAACACAGGTGTTTTAAAACTTTTTTATGCCAAGAACCCCTACATATGGTAATCACTTCAGTAGCCTAAATATAATTACTACTGTATATTTTAAGACATCAAAAATATCTTTAAAAAAATATTAAGTGTGATATTATAGAGATGTTGTTTCCAAAATTAAATTAATGGCTTTTATAATGTCACTGTACTGAGGCAAAAACAAATGATTTAAAAAAAACTAAAAAACTAAAATGTCAATAATTTTTAATAAGTGTATTATAAAAAATATATCTTGAGAATATTTATTTTCTATGAAATTGGCAGTGTCTTTTGTTCTACAGAGTATTAAAGTGGGATGTTCAAAAAACGGATTTGGTGTTTTTATCCGTTCATTTCCATTTGGTCTTTAAAAACTGTATTGCCATAATATCAAGCCCAGTACTGAATGCAATAATTATTAGTTACTACTAGTCTTAGTGAATGGTCAATCAGACTGTGGCAACTTTGAATGACCCACAGCTGTAGTCTTAGTTCAGACTAAAGTCTGCCACTGACAGTTATAAACTTTGCTGTTCACCTCATATGTGGCTCTAAGATTCACTCTTATCTTTTATCATTTTTTTTATATGCATTTAGAGATCATTCCTCATATTGTGTGAGCTGATTGGTCGTGGCCATGAGGAGGTGTACGAATTGTGGAGGGACGGACATTGATGTGGACCAGGCACGGGGTGATGCCGTGTGCATGGGCTGCGGCTCCGTGCTGGAGGACAACATCATCGTTTCCGAGGTAACCTTCGTGGAGAACAGTGGAGGAGGATCGTCCGCCGTAGGACAGTTTGTCGCTGGTGACTGTGAGTGATAGTTCATCACAGACAATTTCTTACTGAAATTGTTTAATTTGTTAATGAGAGAATAATCTTTTTTTTGTAGCTAATGTGGTTAATTGTGTGTATCTCAGAGGATCCGAACGAAAAGCTAGCTATATGACATTGTCCTCTATCCTCACCATCCTTTAGATAGGGTTGTTATGAACCTTGACTTGAAACAGGTCCAGTTCTGAAATGTCAGCCTGTGAAATCTTTTTTTATATTATAATCTGCTTCCACTTTTATACTTTGGGTACTTTCTAAGGAATTTCTAGTCTTGCAGTTTTGGATAATTTAACTTTTCTGAATTATTTAATTGACCCTTTGCTAAGCCCCGCCCTCCCTAGTTACTGTTGCTACGCCTGTCAAGCTTTCGTGCCTGGCACGTCTATTACAGTGTTTATGCACCGGTGTCAGACATTCCCAATGAGATAATTAGTAATTTTTGGCGAACATGTGAAATATCTGAGAGAGCAAGACAAAAGAGACTGCAGTATGCATTCGAGGGATATATCCACGACATAATATGCAACCGATTAGAGAATAATTTCATAAAAATTGAAGCTAAAGCCTATAGTCCCAGCGCAAGGCCTCATACGCTGACCATTCAAATGGGAAACACACAAATTGAGGAACAGCTATGTTCGTGCACAGCAGGGTAAGTGATGTGAAAATAATCGAATAAATTGTAAATCAAACAGAAAATAAATCTTGTGGAATAACACCGGGAGAGCCGCGGTCGGATTGGGTTAAATTTAACGTTACTCAGTCAGGGGTAGTAGGCTGTCGATTAACAAAATGCTGAAATATATTTTAAAGTATGTCAGTGAGCCTCCATCTTGTCTTTAATCGTCTTATTTTACGTTAAAATATATGCATTATGAACAAAGAACCGTCATTATTTCCAACTTCCAAGCAATAGGTGTTTTTGTTAATCCTGTGGACATGTAGTTGTGAATGGGGTCTCACACACTGGTTGATCCACGCCCGGCATTTTTCCCCTCGGCTTTTAGATATTCGGGAAGGAAAAAAAATCCACTCCCCCGTCCAAACTTTTAGGATACCGGGTATCAGATTTGCACAATCCATACGCACAACGCTTCGACATGTTTCCACCGCTCGAAAGCTTGCCAGACCTCCCGCGCCTAGTTACAGTTGCTAAGACACGATTGGCCAGTGGCGGTTTTCGGGCGTGGCTTAGCGGAGGGTCAATTGTCCTGAAATCTTCCCTCATGTTTGAAAAGTTTGTATATGGCAACTTTTTTATTTTTAAAATGACACACTATGATAAATCAAATGTGTGCTAAATGTTTTATAATCAAATTAAAATCATGTTAAAACATACAGATAGTTCCTCTCCAAACTCATTTAAAGGTGCAGTAAGCAATTTCTGAGAAGTGCTTAAGTACAGAGCACCAAAACACACTAATAGCCAATCAGCAGTAGGGGGTGTCCACTCCTGAGGGGGGCAGTGCATGTCTTGCATAGCATGTTTGTGAATTTGGGGGTGGAGCTATCAAGATACTTTTGGGTAGGGGCGTGATTGTTTTGGTGTTTTCAAATATCAACAGCGTTTCTCAGAAACTTGCTGCATCTTTAAAGGGCGTATTTATGGAGCTATTAATGTGTCTTTATTACATGTGAGAAAATAAATGATCTGAGAGAAAAAAGAAAGTTTGAGAGAAAAAGTTATCACACTGATAACAAAAAAGCATTTCATGAGAGAAAAAAGAATATTTGAGAGAAAAAGTTTTCATATCAATAGCAAAAAATAATATTTGAGACTAAAAAAAAGTTGAGAGAAAGTATTTTCTCATAGAACATAGAAATAATTGTAAAAATTTCAAATTGATATTTTTTTGAGAAAAAAAATCTCTCTCTAAAAAAAAAAGTGTGTCTCTCAAACCGCGTTTCTTTGCTCTCAATGCAATGTTTTGCTCTCGTGTCAGGATTTTGCTTTCGCTGTGAAAATTGTGTCATGGGCGGGGCCACGTTCTTTTTTTCCTATTGGAACGTTCCTATTGGCCAGTCGGGTGAGCATCGTCTTGTCTTGGGAGTCGAACTGAATCATTACACCATTGTTCGGTTCACCTAGATAGATGCCTCCTCTGCCTTTAGATTCTCTGCCCGAGCCCGATATTTCCCGTCACTATCCTTAGGCCGGGCCTTTGATCTAGAGACGTGCACTCCCAACGCAAAAGAGTGCAGCGCGGGACTAGATTTGACGGCCGAGTGCGAGCGCTGGCTGTAATGCACTCACTCAGTGTGTGAGGGTTCAGGGAGAATACAACGATTCGTGGGACACCCGCAAACTAGAAATTTCTATGAAAAAAACATAAAAACGAACACATTTTTATTCATCTGTTGCAGAAAAGCAACAAGAACAACTAAAACAAAATACGAATGATTTACAGGCCAGAGTTTCGTTTTATAACATGTTTGCAGCATTGAGCGATGTAGCCAATCACAGACATATGTGTTGATTTATTGAACGCAATAATGGCCAATCAGAAGCATTTAAGATAGACTCCCCTCACCGCTCAAAACGGACTTTTTGTTCAGAGCTGAATTCTGTATGCTGGCAAATCCTCTAATTATAACAAACAAAGGGTATATATTATGAAAGATTCATTGTGCAGTCAGCTTCATTGATAATAACAGAGATGTGTGAGATCGCGATGAACTGATGTCAGCTTTAGGAATTTTTAAGGTAGCGCACTTTGCGCGCATTCAGTCATGCCAAACCATGCACGCAGTAGCTGCTTGCTTTTATGTTATAACAGTGGTTTGTGTGTTAATGCTTTAATAACAAATAATTTATCAGGAGCATTTATGCTGATGTATATGATGGCGACACGTAGGCTAACTTGAAAGTATTTGGAGGTGCAGAACAGAGGAGGAGGAGGAGAAAGTAACATGGAAAGTAGTTGAGAACGTCAGTTATAACGACCCACGTATTAAAATGGTCTGGTTTAAATCGGGGTCGGGCTCATAATTATGGTTAATGTGTTGGGCCGGGCTCGGACACAACGTGCACAGCTCGGGTAGGGTCGGGCTTGATTTTTTTGGGCCCGATCTAAGCTCTAAGTTGAGCACGGACACCCCAATGTTTGGGTAAGATGATCACACAACTCGATGTTAGCTGGCTGAGCAAGTTCAGCATCACTGAAGATTAAACATTCAAAATAGCACTCATATTCATGAATGTGTATTATATTATTAGCTTGCTAATCGCTAGTAAAGCTAATTATTAATAAGCCATCATGCTAGGGTGCACGAGTGCTATTTTTTAATGTTTAATCTTCAGTGATGCTGAACTTGCTCAGCCAGATACCCATCGAGTTGTGTGTGTCATCATCTTACCCAAACATTGGAGTGTCCGTGCTCAACTAAGGCAGAGGCGGCATCTATCTGTGAACCGAACGCGAAGGGACGCGAACAATGGTGAAATGATTCATTCAGTTCGACTCCCAAGACAAGACGATGCTCACCCGACTGGCCAATAGGAACGTTCCAATAGGAAAAAAAGAACGTGGCCCCGCCCATGACACAATTTTCACAGCGAAAGCAAAATCCTGACACGAGAGCAAAACATTGCATTGAGAGCAAAGAAAAGCGGTTTGAGAGAAACACTTTTTTTTTTAGAGAAAAATTGTTTTCACACTGATGGCAAAATATATATATTTAAGATTTTTTTTCAAAGTATTTTGAGAGATTTTTTTCTCAGAAATAATTTAAAAAATTTCAAATTTATATTTTTTTATGTTCTATGAGAAAATACTTTCTCTCAACTTTTTTTTCTCTCAAATATTCTTTTTTCTCTCGTGAAATGCTTTTTTGCTATCAGTGTGATAACTTTTTCTCTCAAACTTTTTTTTTCCTCTCAGATCATGTATTTTCTCACATGTAATAAAGACACATTAATAGCTCCATACGTATTGGAAGTTTTTTTTCTTTCAAAATTAATACATAAACTTGTTTGAAAATACCATATGAAAAGTTAATGCAGAATTTAAAATGGTTTTGCAAGACATAAGGGCACAACTTTAGTAGAAAACTTGACAGTTTCCTTGACCGTGTTGAAAAACCGTTTTATTTTTTTTAAACACTGCGCCATTTTATGTCATGAGAGGGAGTCGTTTGCTCAGTGCAGAGTAGGTTAGTATTCAGTAGGAGTGGTCGTGATTTCAGTGTGTGTTTTCGGCAGTTATTGTATTTCAATTTATAATCGTCATGGTAAATGATTGTGTTTGTGGAGGTTTCACAAACTCCAGCCTGTCAGGACATCGAGTCCACAGAAAAAGGACTGCGCTATCTTCCGTGCCTGGGTGCGTTTTGTGCAGGTGAAGAGAAGGGACTTCTGCTTCGAAAAACGCCGTAGTGTGTAGCGTTCAATTTAGACCGGATGATTTTAATCCCGGCGATATGATGGAGTTCATCATGGGGTGCCGAAGCAAGAACCAAGTGAGACTCTGGGCTGGTGCGGTTTCTTCGGTGCACACCGTCACAGCACCTTCATCGGGCCGATAGTGTTACATATCGTCAGCTAGCGTGTATCTGTAAGCTAACACTGGTGTCTCACCAAAACACCTGCCCTGTTCTCACACCACAACTCAATTTGTCTCCTCTGACTGTTGTTTTGTCTAATCCTGGCCGGTCTCTGTTCTCTTGGCTGCATAGGCTCATAATTATATGGCTGATCAATACAAGTGAACATTTACAATTTCCTTTGCGTCCAAACTGTCATTGCGATCCATTGCTTTCCTATTGTTTAAATTGGCCGCACTCCCTCCCGTCCCGTTACGTCACTTTCGGTTTTGGCGATTTTCAGATGCGGAAGTAAGGTTTTCTCACAAAAACGACTCCAGAAGCCTTAATAGCGTTTTATAAGTATATACTTAAAGCGAATCTAGTTCCTACATTATTTTTCTATACAATGAGTCCAGTGGTGTAACGAGCCAACAACTTCTTTGACGACGACTCCATATCGATATTGTCTGTCTCAAGTTCAACGTTTTTACTGTTGCATGCAACACGTTCACTTACCGACTCGGGGATTCCCCAGTCCCAATTCGAAAACAAATTACACCAAAATCCATGATTGTTCGTTTCACACATGTATTTAATGATCAGTAAAATATGTTGTTGTCATTATTTATTCAAATAAATTTGCGATAAAGTAAAATACGATCAGACTAAAATGCGATAGGGGGCCCCGGCTGTCAATCAATATCTTCCAGTCACGCGGGCCCCTGATTGGTCCAGGCCCGTAAGCAACCGCGTACCCTGCCTACCGATAGTTAAGCCTGTGATTGAGTCACTGGGTACTCTAACCTGCAATATGCCCTTTAAATGGGATGAGTTTTTTTTATTTGTTTATTTTCAACTGCAGTACCGTCTTTGAACACCAGATGGCTGCCAAGTTGTTGTTTTTTTAACTGATGTTCTGCAATGGTGGTAATGTGCAACAAACTTCCATATTCTGTAAAACAGGTCACTTCGCTTCCGGTTCAGGTCTTTTGTATGTGCTTTGTTAAATAGAGCCGTTTTAATCAAGATACCGTCAAAGGAGCGAGCAGAGATGAACAACACCATTGTCCATCTCATATGCAGATTGATATCTAGAAGTTTTTATTTCTCTTCTCACTAACATTTGGATATTAAAATTGAATAAAACACTAACAATAAAAATAACTAGCTAGGTTAGCTGATTGCCTTAAAAATGCTTAGAAATCTCCGTCAGGTCATACTGCTGTTAACTTTCTCCAATAAGCGGTTGCAATGAGACGAGTTTTCCTGTTTGTTCATGTGACATTCAACATAAAGCCTGGGAAAACATTTTATTGTGGAAGCTGACTTTCAACAGCTCATGTAGTTTAAACATGGCAAGTTTTAAATTTGGACATAAATGTTGTTTTTTCCTTTCTTCTAAGATAATTAATTATAAGTATTGGGTAAGATAACATGTATTAGGCAAGGCAAGTTTATTTGTATAGCACTCTATACACAATAGTAATACAAAATGCTTCACAGAGACGTTATAAAAACACACTAAAATATTTTAAATCTTTTAAGAACATACAAATATTAATGGGAAGAGATTTATTAAAACAAATAAGAACAAAACAAATAAGAACAAACCAAAAGTATTGATAAAATAACTTATACTATACTGCTTAGTTATGAAAAGTATATTTTTCTGTTCTCATAATATTAGTATTAATATATTTTATTTTCGCTTTTTTTGTAGCATCTGGAAATGTTCCATCATTGGGAGGAAACTTCCACACTGGCGTTGGGAGGGAGTCCAGAGCTGCCACTCTACAGAATGGTGAGCGTTCCTAATATACAGTATTTTCCATTTATCGAATTCATATGTCTTTCATATAGTCTTCATTTACACTTCATGACAGTCAAAAAGCAGACATAAAGCATAGACACTACCATGCAAAAGTTTGGGATCAGTAAGATTTTTCTTATACTTTCTGAAAGATTCCTATGCCACATTTATTTAATTAAATACAGTTATATTGTGAAATATAATTACAATTTAAAATAACTGTTTTCCTTAGTGTCACATGATCCTTCAGAATTCATTCTAATATGCTGAGTTGGTGATCAAGAAATATTTCTTACAATTATCGATGTTGAAAACTTCGAAGCTGTGCTGCTTAATTAAGCTGTGCTGCTTAATGTTTTTGTGGAAATCGTGATAATTTTTTCCCAGGATTCTTTGATTTAATAGAAAGTTCAAAAGAACAGCTTCCGAACAGAACTCTTTTATAACATTATAAATCTCTTTAATGTCTCTTTTGGCCATTTTAATGTGTCCATGCAGGCTGAATAAAAGTATCAATTTCTTTCAGAAAAAAAAATCATGGTGATCCCAAATGTATATCAATTGTTTTGTATGTAACTTTTCTTTCTATGTGACTTAAGGTATCTATAAACCTTTCATGTGACTTTCATTAATGAAAGTCTCTTGGTGTGTTTTTTATCTAAATATTTGAATCGCTTGCTTAATTCATTCATACAGAGCTATAGATGTTAATTTATTCCTTTATCATACAAATGTCATGTTTTTTGGCAATAGATGTCATTGTGACGTCTATATTGTGCTTTTTTTATTTAAGGGTTAAATTGTTTATATAGTTTTTAAGTGTGCCAAAGCATTTCCTATGAATATGAGACGGTATATTTAAATTGTTATTGAAAAGTTACAACTTGTACGATATTGTGCGTTACATGTGTCCGTATAATATTCCGTTTCATTGAACTACATGATTGACCAAGATAGTAGTTAAGTATATGTGTGTTGTGTTTATAAGAAAGGGGGATTCTTTGGAAGCTGTGGGCTTGTGTAATGTGGTTTCAAGTTAAGCGTGTGAAGTTTGTTTCAGCCAGATGGTAATGGTTGTTTTTGAAAGAGGCTTATTAAGCCTGAGAAGTCAGAAGGTGTGGTGGGTTTATGTGCTTTTGTGTAGTAACCGATGAATCAGTTTGGTCAGACAACCGTATGGTCTGTGTGTGTGCTGGGAGGGAAATGCGGAGGCCACTTTATGTGTGAGTGTGTGAGGGAATGTACACGTGTGATTAATGGCCTCATGTCTGCATCGAGATTTATACTATCTGTGTGTGGTGAGAGAACAAAAGTTGCTCTGTGAGATCTTGAATCTGTATAAACAGACCTGCTTTCAGCTTGAAGATGCTCTCCTCCCATTCTGAAGGGCCGAACAGCCCGTCCACAGCAGGTGCTCATATATAATGTAACGAGACTCTTACTTTGTAGTAACTTTATAGAAACGCATATAATTTCAATATGTATTATTTGATTATGGTAAAACTATCAGTTTTTCATCTTAACGTTAAGAATAGTAGAGGTGCTGTTACTGTATAAGCATGACTAATATTTGACTGCACATTAAACTAGGATAGGAAAATGTATTAAAAAAAACACACTTCCCTGTATTAAATGCATTAAAAACCAAACCCCCCTGTAAAAAAACCTTATCAAAATACAGATAGGAATAAAAAAGTTTGGTGTAAGTCTGAAAAAGCTCTTGAAGTCGGCATGAAATTAAAATCATATCGATTTTTTAAATGCGTGTTATAGATCTTACTGTGAACGATCCATCCGTGCATGTTTCATTTTTACCATTTTTGGTCAATTATCAGATTTTTCAATATGTATTTTTTCAGACTTGCACCAAACTTTCCAGTTTTATTCCTATCTGTATTTTGATAAGGTTTTTTACAGGGAGGTTTGTTCATATACCATTCACCTGATTTATGCATTATTTTATTCCTGAAAACATGGTAAAATTGATTTTAATTTATTTTCCTGGCTGTTGACAATATTTTCTGATTTATGGAGTGATTCAAATAGATAACCAAAATCACCTCTATAAAAAAACCTTTTAATGTTAATATGCCAACAATAGAATCAAGAATTTTGCACCTGGCTGGCTTTATCCAATGTTTAGATTTCCATTCCAGAAATCAATATTTTTTCTTTTTTGATAATCTGTTACATTCAAATGTACATCGCAGCACGGAAAAGAAGTTGCTACTTCGGTTTCGTCGCGATTTGGAAAAACATGGAAACCAGGAATAATCTATGAGGCAATTCGTCTTCCTCTCTGTCTGGTTTAAAATATTGAATGAAATGGCAAAATACTTCAAATGTTCTTTGTTTGTTTGATTTAAACGCAACAGAGTTGGACTGGTAACCTAAAGTTTGTTGGTTCAACCCCAAGAAAGGGCAAACCAGGAGCTTTCACCATTTGTGTTTCTCCACTATTAACCTTGGAGGGACTAAACCTGCTGTAAATGTGTTTTGAATAAGTCTGACTGTTTTTTTTTTTTTTTTTTTTAGCTAAGCGACAGATAAACCATCTTGGTCATCAGATACAAATGAATCAGCACTGTTTGGACACCGCCTTCAACTTTTACAAGATGGCACTCTGCAAGCATCTGACCAGAGGACGCAAATCATCCCATGTTATCGCCGCCTGTCTCTACCTCGTCTGTCGGACGGAGGGAACACCTCGTATCCTTTTGGCCATGAGGTGATGAAAGCACTTAGAGTGAAAATATCTGTTATTGAGGGTTAAACACCATGAAAGGTGATGTAGATGATACAATTTTCATAATATGTGATGCATCCGTGTTTGTCAATTGGTTTTAGCTGTGGGTTAAGGTCTGTTCACACCAAGAACGATAACTTTACTAATATATCTATATTATTGTCCACACCAGCGGACAATGTATAAAATGTATAACAATGTAAAAATGTGACGTGAGTATAAAATACAGTTCAATGATGGACAGGAGTTTGCAACACTCAAGAGCTGCTCCCAATCCCACCGTAATGCAGATGTCACAGGTTACATAAACTCAACACTATTTTGACGTTTCCACAATCTTATCCTTTTGTCAGTCTGCCAATCATGGGATTTTTAATCATACATTTGTCTTGTAGTTTTTCAGAAATTATGACTATTTGCAATAATATACTAAAGGTGCAGTCACGTTTACCATTGCTTAGAGAATTTTCACAGGTGAAATCTAGTCATTTCAATAAGAATACACGCAATCAGAAACGTTTTTCCCATGTAGATTTCGCAATGGATTCAAGTTGGTCACATAAATTTGCAGCATTGACAAAAAGAAAGCTGACTGGTTTGAAAGTGACTTCTGTTTGAGCTGGGCTTCATAAATCGCTACACTATTGCCAATAGACTTCAACTTAAAGGTGCAATAGGTGATTCTCTACAGAAACATTTTGTTATACTGATTGAAAGTCTCCTCATATCCTGATAGCAATCACTGTTAAACAGTCTAAATGTATTTTTATAAATGTATTTCGTCTGTGGAAGGCGTAGGATCATAAAATGTAAATCCAATCATTATATTCGGTCCGAATTAAATAATACGATGTCCTACCTGCCTGTCAACGTTTGTTTATACATACCCTTGCGCACCCTGTTCGCTCGGATATCATACATCATCATCAGTGCGTTTCATGCTGTGCAGAGTACAGACAGATGTCGGTCACGGAGCACCACAAAGAAACAGCAGCCATCTTTTACAGTTCCTCCAAAACAATGAGCTCATGCTGAGTTCACGCCGTAATTAAGAGATGGCAACTCGTGACGTTCTAACCGGAGCTGTTCACATCCTCAGACTCAAAATGATGTGTTTCCATTTCAACAGTATCAACACCGCAATGAATCTGCAGAAGTCAGGTACAAGGTCCCCAAGTTGTTAACGTTCATTATTATTGTAATGTACATTGAGACATGAGGCAGTTTAACGCAGTCTCTTGTGACGCTTTGCCGAGAGCTGCTGTGTGTGTGTGTGTGCGCCTTCATGTGTTTGGGGGAGGTCGCTTTGGACGGCGATTTGGAGGGATGGTGGGATCGTATGCTTTCAATGCTAGCAGGCTAATGTTAGCATTTCCTAGAACACCTACTGCACCTTTATAGTATGTGTACTGCGCACTGTATACAAATACCCAGATGACCTAGTATATTTGTTAATTGCTTAGTTTACAACATAGCCCACTACACAAAACACTGTATCCCACAATCCAGAGCTGATCTCTAGGGGTGGGCGATATCTCTATTTAAAATATCTCGAGATATTTTTTAAACACGATATGGATTTTGACATATCGTATATCGATATATTGTTTATTTTTAATTCTGATTTCGCCACTTTGCCTTCTCTGCGCTATGCTCGCCCCCGTCTCCTTGCTTTTGTTCCCCCTCCCCTCGCGTGTTGTCTCATTCAACATGGCGGCGCCCGCAACTAGCCCGGAGGCTACAGAACTCGTCTAAAAAAATCTTCTTAAATGCTGTCTTACATGCACTTCTTGAGGCACACTAGCAAACACACGCAAGGTCTCTCGCTCTCTCTCCCTCTCTGCCGTGCGCACGCTACATGGTTTGAACATGCATATTCACACAGCCTTTCGAAAACCGGGACATTCTGTGTCCCGGGAGAGTGGATAAATTTCCCGGGACAGGTTATTAAAAAGAATGACAATCCCGGTAAAACGGGACAGGTGGCAACCCTGGCCATTGCCGTCGTTGAATTATTATTTTTGTATACAGGCATTTTTTTTTTTAAATGTCGCAGAAGCACTTTGGACTACATGAACTGCCTACCTCTCTGCACTCCAATAAAAAAAAGACTGTGGTATTTGGCATATTTGTTTTTGCAGTAGTTTTTGTTGTTATTTTTCCTGTAAAGATATCGAAATATATATTGTATATCAAGATATATTTTTTGCTCCATATCGCCCAGCCCTACTGATCTCCCATTTCCAGTGTGGTGAATGAATAGGGGGTGATTACAGCTGCTATCTCTATTTCGACAGATTATTTGATTGAACTACAAAGAGTTGAAATTTTTTTTAATGCAAAGCTGAAGAAACCATTTTTTTCCCCCATGATGATAATTGTACGCTATGTACCTGACTTGATGAGGTCAAGTTATAACAGCGTAGCATACTACTGTTTGAAACGTTTATACGGGTATAATGATTAGTCTTTCACATGCCATTTGAAGTATTAGGCAATATACTGTGTAGTATTTAGTAAGCAGTTTGCTAGTAATGCTCTGCATAGTTTTCACATTATCTTCATTTTATTGTTTTTTTTCAGTGGAGTATACAGCTCTTAATGTTCATAGGTGTGGATGCTAATTTGAGTATATATACTGTATAAATAGCATACAAAAGAGAGATGGTGACTCAGATTGCGTTCCATGGAAAGAAGACGAAGCGGTAGGTACGGAAGAAGAGAGGTTGCGCTGTGAGGGTAGATGGTCAAAGGTGTTAGTCAGTCGTCTTGATTTGGTCTCCACACGTACATCTGTCTGCATTCCACAACGCACACAAACACTCACAGCGTCTGATGCTTAGTCATAGAGCCTCGGTTCTCCCGTGTGTGAACACTCATGATTATTTTTGTAATAATCATCCTACACTCACACTGACTCACTGAGTCAGAGTCTAACTCAGGTTGTTATCTTTAATTTGTTTGTGTATAAAGCAATTCGTTTCCTGTTTAGCCTACGCTCTAGCAAAACCTCATCTGGTGTCCGAGACGGGATTTCGCTTCTAAGCGAGTTGGCTTTTTCAGGGTTTATGTGTGTTAAAAGAGAAGCAGGAAATAAGGCAGGGTGTGTCTCTCAGGAGCCTGCATTAGGCCTGTATAAAAATAAAAATAAAGTTTTTGTAAGTAGATTAAAAGTAGATTGGAACTGTGTAATGCCTAGCAGTTAGTGCACATCCTCCAGCATTTTGCCTAATGCGACACAAGTTCAAATCTGGAAAATGACAGTAGATTTATCTATCCCTCAATGATAATGATATAATCCCTACCAATGATAAAAAAGCAGTGAATAGATCTAAATAAATGTCTTAAATACTGTATGGATTTGTTTTACTTTTTAATTCAAGGTGGGTATTAATGTGTTGTCTTTCTAATGGTAATTGACTCAATCTCCACCAGCGTGAGGTGTAGTAGATAATATTCACAGATGGATGGATGAATGTTTAATTGCACCAGCTGTTACTTTCAATTATATTATAACTGTTATATTCAGCTGTTATAACTTTAATGCCCTATATGTGAAAATGCTTGAGTATTAGGTTATTATTTTTCAGCTTTCTTCTGCCTTTAACAGTCTGAAAAAGCCACCACATTATCACTCACATTTGTGTGTATTTGGATTTTCATGGACAATTTCACTTTTTTGTGCAATTAACAATTAAATGGAGGCAGCAGAATCTTTCCGTCTCTCTGAGATTATGCAACATACGTGTTCAGTCAGATGTCTGTTTGGGTTATATAAGAACTCGTGAGAGAGCTTTCATTTTCTACCCAGGAGGAAAAGGTGTGTGTGTGTGTGTGTGTGTGAGAGAGAGAGAGAGAGAGAGAGAGAGAGAGTGTGTGTGCGTGTGCGTGTGTGTGTGTGAGAGAGCGAGGAGCATTGTTGGTCTCAAGCTCTACTGTACAGGGTAAATTTAGCCAAACATTATTTCTCATTATTTTTCAAACATCAGCCTGCGAAATGGCTTCTTTCTCTAAGGTTAGATCTAATCTTGCTGAGTTTGTCGATTATTGTAGTTGTTTTCCTATTTTATCCTATTTTTATGTATTTATTATTTTTATTTTTTTCTATGTGGACACTTAAAACACTGTGATTTCCGTCAAGTAATTATGGAAAACATTAATGGCCTTAAGCTAATTTTGCAATATGTAGGATTTTCCCTGGAAAGGTCAAATCCTGATCCATCCTAAAAATGATCATTAATTTAACAGGGGTCATCCATAATCCCACAATTTAGGATTATCTCTCACTGTTACCGTGGCAACTGAAAATCCCACAATGACTTTTTAATGGGATGTTTTAATACACTTTGTCTTCATTAGACAGGTGTGCTGGTCTCCATGGATACAGAGTACACGGTTGCCAGGAGACGGGGATTTCCAGAGTTCAGGAAGTGTGGTGGTTCAGTGGAGCTTTACTCACAGAGGGAAAATGTCAAGCAAAGAGACCAAATCTGACCAATATCCCTCCCTGTTTCTTGTCGGTCTCTGTCTTCACCAAGTGTCCCTGTGTGTGTGTATATATATATATATATTTCACATTAGAGTTGGCATGAAATGGAAGTTGGTTCTCAAATGAGAAAAAAATACAGGGCAGGATTTTGTACATCGGGAAATGATTGGATCATTGCTGGATTGTTGTCGTTGGCTAATTGCTGCGATCTCAGACAGGTTTCTGTAAGTGAGGGATTATTTTGTCACCCTCGCACCACTAAAAGCGTCATAAGAAAAGAGATGTCGATGCAAGAAGGAGGGGAAATATTTTGATCGAAGATTACAAGGGCTCATGAATTAAAAAAACAATAATGGGCACGGATAAATCATTGAAAATATTCCATAAAAAATAAGAATTGTCGGTTTTGATTTAATTGTGACTTTAAGCCATTATTGCATAATATATTAGGTCCTTACAGACTAAATAGTTAATTTGTAAATAATCCAGTTCCTGAAACTGCTAGAGAATGGTAAGGTCATGAGTTTGATGGCCAGAAAATGCATGCATTTAAAAAATGTATATCTTGAATCTGTTGCAAGTAGCTCTAGATAAAATTGTCTGTCAAATACATATGTAAATCCAATTGTGTATGATTTCTTTAACGCACTTTCTCAGACATGCTGCTTGACTTGAGTGACATCCTGCAGGTAAGTTACTAACACCTAAACATGTAAATGAAAATCTATCCATCTGATATAGATGAAGCCCTGTTTTAGGTCAAATAAGCAAGTTTGTGACATTATTCCTTTGAAAGGGGGACAAAAAAAATACTAAAACATTCTGAGGTTCATGTACATTTTTCACTTACAGCTTTTCACTATGTATATTTCTTATGCTGATATAATTATGAAAGAACAGTTTATTAAATAAGAACATAATGCAAATATCATATGCAGTTTCACTATCAATCCAAGACTTTTGATCCCAGTTATTTATAAATTGTGCATGTATTAGTGTGTGAAAGCCATTTTCTTCCAGCTGGTGTGGCCGTTTTATATTTTTACCCTCCCAGCTGTCCTATTAAACTCCTTCCCTGCCCCACACGCTAACACGCAGACCCTGTCCACTGCGGTATTTGAGTCATTAGGGGATTTTACCAGAGAAAGGACCCATAAATTCCTTTGCTCTCTCCCAGACAGAGGAGCTCTTTTGAGGCATAAGGCTGTTGCCGCCCCTTTCAGGTCAGGAGTGTGTGAGGGCCATCCTACTTTTCAGTGGTCGTGACCTCTGACATCAACCAAAAAAGATTCCCCTTTAATGCTGTGGGGCCCAGATGGAAGAAATAGGGTGTCTGTGTTTGTGCATGTGAAATCATTCTTTATGGATATCTTTTTTTTAAATCATTATTAAGGTGGTCCAAGAAGATAAGTGTTGAGTTATATGATGTTTAAAGCTTGTTTTATGAAATATTCTGTTATTGTAGTTCATCCTCAAGGATAAGACACAGATATAAAGTTTGTGAGAAAGTGAAGACTGTGGTGATGCTGGTATGCATCCAAACCCCAGAGCTATGAACTCTGCAACCTTCTGCATCTGTTAAAATACACAGCGTTATTACAGTCGTCTTGTCCCTTTATTCATCCTCCTCGCTCTATCTTATCTCGTTCTCTTATTCTCTGTTATATATTCCCATTGTCTGTTTCTCTTTGTGCTCAACCACAAATTTGTGTCTCACTCTTTCTTTCTTGCCCTAGGTGAACGTGTATGTTTTGGGAAAAACCTTCCTCGTTTTAGCCAGGGAGCTGTGCATCAACGCACCAGCTATTGGTAAGCATCAGATATCACAAACAAGTGATTTTGCCCTTTCCCATGATGCTTTTCGGTTCACACAAATTGAACTGGTACTGTACTGTGTGAGTATGTGAATGGGTCAGTGTAGTGCTGCTGTTAATACCCAGAGGGTGCTGTGAAACTGCAAATGTAAAACCTGAATTGAACACTGGATTGATTTGTGCAATGTTTGGTCGTCAGTTGCTTTCAAGCAACAATACAAAGCAAACTGTTGTTGTCTTTTCCTCCCCCTTATGTCATTCCAAACCTGTATGACTTACTTTTGTCTCTGGAACTAAAAGGAAGATATTTGGAAATGTGTCTGTTTTCTATGGCCCAAATAATGTTGTTTTGGACCACATTGACTTTTCATTATACGGACAAAAAACCAGATTAAACATTCTTTAAAATATCCTCCTTTGTGTTTTGCTGAAGGAAAGTATTAATCATACAGGTTTGGAATGACATGAGGGTGAGTAAATATTCATTTGTGGGTGATCTCTTTAAGGGTATATTTTACCCTGATTTAAACCGTAAAGACAAGTATTATCATAACTGTACACAAGACCAAAGAAAAGGAAAAATTGTTTGATGAATAGAAAACAATGTTTTATGATTTTTTCAGGTCACTCAGTATCAAGCTGTCAACAAATAACAATTAAACAACAAGACAGAGGAAAAGCTGTCTAGTTTCAAGTGCAAACTGCCCCACTGTATATAGGCAGATTATGAATAATTAGAAAGAAAATAGGCTTAAATTAAAGTGTGTTTTTTAAAACAATATGTTTAAAGAAATAAATAAGAATGGGCAGCATTCCATTATTTGTGAGACATAAAATCAGATCAGAGGACGTCGTTTCTCTTCTAGGAGTGTCTCGTAGCTGATGTGAATGAAGGCAGTTATTTGAGAGGAAAAATCCCCCTGCTGTTCATTAATGGGTCAGTCCGAGTACTCATGCATAAAATATCAGTTCCGGAATCTGTCCCCCCTGCACCCCTGTCCCATTAGTACTGTCAGAGGAACACTGAAACTGGAAGGTAACTTTCCCACACTGGACTTCTGTCATTCCTTCCTGTCCAAAATAACTTAGCTCGGTCCCATCAAGAACAGCGCTAACTGTGTAGAAAGCATCCTGCTCCACCTGTACTGGGTGCTCGAACCACACAGGGAACGTTGAGCTAGAACCATCCGACACAAATTTGGTCAGGTTTTGTGCCAGAAGCAATCCCTGTCTCTTTAGTTCAATTCGAACGCTATATTCCGCCTTCCCCCCACTGGAGCCGTACAGACCAAGTCCGGCGATAAACACTCGCTTGTCCACGGCGAACTGGATGCTGTCACAGCGCCCGCGGTAGCGCCACTGGTTGCTTCGGTAGGCGGATGACTGGAACCGGTGACAGCGTTGCGCCGCCAGCCCCTTTCTGGATGCATCCGGGAATCCTAGCGAAGGTTTCGTAGCAGCCGTGTACCAGAGAAAGATGCTGTGCGTTTCCTCAAGGGTTAAAATGTTCGATTGCGCGGCTCCATCCGCAAATTCCTGCAGTGTCATGGAAGGCAGGCGCACAAGGTGCAACGCCTTTCCCAGCACGGAGCGCTGGTTCTGTGACGTGAGGCTCAAGTCTTGTCTCCGACACTCTGCATCGGCCCATCCCAGGACAGCCTGGAACACCACCGCCTCCTTCACGTTCAGCGTTTCCCTGTGTAAGATGCTTTCCAGTGTGGGCAGGTCAATTTCAGAGAAACCTTCGGAGCGCAGCGCAAGCTCTGCCTGGGCGTCGATCACTTCCCAGCACCTCTGAGTGAGCTCCGGCTCCTCAAACAGCCGACTCTGAGATAGCAGAACGCACGCATTTCGTGCCTCCAGGCTCGTCTCGAGGAAACCCACACATGCGCGAGCCAGAGCAGACACCAGGTATTTTTTGGCAGCGTAGAGAGTAGCCAGAACTGTGTCGGGCGACAGCTCTATCTCATCACTGTACATGTATCTGATGAAGAAGAGGAAGATAGTAAGGTTAGGGTAAACTTTAAAGTCCACATGAAACTGAAGTTGCAATCGTCTATTCTTCCCTATTGTGACGTATAGCCGAGTGAAATGGCTTCTCGAATGAAAAAGAAATGTAGGACGGGACTTGATTTCGTTCCTCTGGAATTGAATGAATCGTTGAATCATTATCGTTTGCTATTGCTATGATCTCTTCTGAGTGACAGTTTGTTCTGCTCTTGTGTCAGTAAACACATCATCAGAGAATAGATGTGGTTTTAAGGGGGTGGAAGTTATTTTGATTGAAGATTATGAGGGCACTTTCATTAAAAAATATAAGAATGTGCTCATATAAATCATTTTTAATAAACACTGCAATATTCCATAATAAATTGTCCATTTTGAGTGCAGATGTTCTTCCATATGAAGAGAATAAAACAGCTAGTTCATACTTCACCAAAACCGATGTGTTTAACATTGCTACTGCTTTAAATAGTGACTTCCAACTTTCTCGGGATCATTCACAATCCAATAACCGATCTTGAATAGCACTGAAATAAGAGGGCGACTCTTAAACCAAGACATCACTGTCGGGGCCTTGGTGAACCCATCTGTGCTGCTTGGCATGAAAGCCGAGTTGCCCTGTTATTAATGCCCGGATGTGATTAGTGAGTGAGTCTTACTTGAGCAGGATGAGAAACGCAGCGGGTTCCACATCTGGAATATGGATATCAGAGTCCGCTTCCGCGAGATCCCCGTAAAACATGGCACAGAAAACAGAGCTCCCCACCGCCAGCACATACTGAGATAGGGAGAAGAGGCAATCCATCAGCGTTTTATCTCTTTTCCCAAGCATTTACTGGATGTCTCCCTTATCTGACACCTATTTCAGGTCCACTGATAAGCTGTTGGGTTGAATCAGGTTTGTTCGATTTGGGAGACATCCAAAATAATGTTGTGGTTATTGTAGGGGACAGGTTAGGGGAGAGGTGTGTGTGTGTGGACTCACCTTGTGTGCCGGGACCCTTTCCGATTCGCCGGGGGGACCAACAATGAAATGAACATCTGCCATTTGTTCATTATTGAACATAAGTGCATTTCTGCATAAAGTAAAAAATTAAATTTAGCCTTGGTGTATTAATAAATAAAATATATTTAAATATTTAATTTAAAAGAAAATAATATAATATCTAAACATTAATTAAATTATATAATGAGTATCTTTTAATGTTCTTTATTACTTGCCTTAATTATCTTATCTTATACTAAACTAAATGAATAATATCTGAACATTTATCAAAATATTTGATCACTATATATTTGTGTGTAACTTTTTTTTTAAATAACTTTCCTTAAAACTATACAAATGTAATAAATGCTCAGACATTATGTATCATAACTTGATTTAATGTCTTGCCTCTCTCGTAACGTCGGGTGCGCGGAGTGCCAGCTGGGAACCTCCACGTTGTTGTTGTTGATGTTTTGCTCTGTGGTCGGTGTGGTCGCGGTGCACGCGGTGGTCTGCGCGACCGGCTCTGCGCTCTTCTTCTCGGGCAGACTCAGCATCACGGTCCCGTTCTTCTGCACCGTGGCGTGATCGTTCACGGGGTACAATTCCGCTGCCATCCTTTTCTTCAGGGAAAGAGATAAGATGTTATAGCACACAGACAACCTGCCGGGGTGCTTGTTTGTCCGCTTCAACTTCTTTAACGTTTCGGGGAGCAAGAGTATAAAAGTCACGCATTTCATGATCCGGCCATGATGGGACAGCCTGCATTCCGGCGCAGCGGGCATCAGAACAAAAAAATAAAAAGTTTTTGTTTTGTATATATAAAAAAAAAAATCAGCTACAACCGTGGTCCGTGGTATTCCTAAATAATATTGCGTATTGTCCTTGGAAACAAAAGCAGCTCGACTGTCCTTAAACGGTCACATAAATATTTGGGATTTTAAGGATTATTTCATAGATGCCATCCTCTTTTCCCTAATCACATACTCTCCCACCCCACACCGAAAATCCAATCCAAATCGGTTTAAAATCACTTAGGAATAACACAAGAAATATATATATATAAAATAGAGTCTGTAGTCTTAACGGCAAGCGGACCTTTCCTCTGTTGTGTCCACACAGAATGATGAAGTTTGAGTTTATTTTGAGCTCTCGAGCTCTCTCTCTATCGTCTGACGTCGGCAGAGGAGGGTTGTCTCCATCCCTCCTGTAAATTCTGTGTTGCCATGTCCGGCTATTATAAGCAACTCTTGTCTGGGATTTTTACACATGGTTATTCATGTTGTTTTTGTGATTATTCGCAGTATATATATATGTGAATATGTACATGTATATGTGAAATAGTGAATTTTATTTTTCTTCTAAAAGGATTTAAATTTATTGAAAATATTCGTCCAAAACAGATTGCTTCCTTTTCTTGTGGGGTCTGGCAACCCTGCGTAAATGGCTCTCTGTGGACTGTGCTGTGATGTTGGTTTTTAATTCGTCATGTAACCTACATAACTTTACAATCTTACCGTCTCCTTTAATGATCCGAGTCAAGTAAAATATATTTGTGTTTTTGCGCATCAAATTCGAAGTTCGTCAGTACGCGTCGTTTATTTCGTTCGTCAATATGTTTTGTTATTTACACTCACACACAACTTAGTTCTAACACTAAATATATATCCATTATTTTGTATGCATTGTATTAGTATTCAAATATCGAGCGATACATTTAAACTCGCGCGCTGCAGATTCTGTTACAAACCAGATGCGTTCTGTAAACGTAACGTTTACGTCACGCTGAACTGTTATACTTGTGCAACCAGTGAAAAATCTTGCGTGTTCTTACCTCAAATTCTGTATTTTATGCGCTGGTTTGTTTTCATCATACAGCTGCTTCGACTCAAAGCGATGTCAAAAGTTTTACTGCTCCTGTCGTGACGGAGTCAGAAACCGGACGAGGGCTGGACTTGTGGAAATACTGTAGTGCGCACGACTGCTATCCGTATTCCCAATAAAGTCCTCGCGCAGAATGAGGCTTCTCTCTCTCTCTCTCCCGGTCTCTTCTTTTACCCGCACAGACAGATCTAAGCGGCTTATGTGAACATATGTAGTGGGGATTAGATCAGAGTGTATCCCCACAGTCCCATCAGTAAGGCCAAGTACCCTTACTGAATATATTTGTGAATGTGTATACTGTATATACACACACACACACACACACACACATATCACAAATAAGTAGACCCAGAATTTTTTATTTATTTAGTATTTTTTACCATGTCTTTACATTAAGAGTATAAGAAACAAATGGGGGGAAAAAAACATTTTTGAAAAATTATATTTTATTCATATGTTAATCTATGTCCACTGTAGTGGACACCAGGACTTAAAAAAATACAATGACAAGGAATGGCATGTATAGGCAAAAAAATTGGATTTTCTTTTCCATTCACCAATACATTTTTAAGTTTCAGGATTTTTTTAACCAAACTTTGTGTAAAGATGATTCTCAACTATGTTATGAAAGATATCATGGAAAGAATTGATACACCATTTTACTTCATGCAATATGCGTGTAAACATGTCCATAAATGCCATTCCCATTCAATACAATGTATACACTGTATTAGCATATTAATGTGTTCTTGGGGCAACATGTAATGAAAAAAGAAGTGTAATAATGTGAGTAAAGATTTTTCAACATTTTATAATAATATCTAATGTCATAGATAGGAATATTGATATATAATATATTTCCCTATTCACTTGTTGTGTCTCCAAAATGCCTGATAAACATGATTTAAGTCCTGATGTCCACAGTGGACATGTATGAAATCAATGCCCTGTTTTGTAACTGAAAGTCATATTTTGATTAGAAACCCCATATCATTTTCCAGAGATGTTGATTTATGACAAACAATTTGAAAATGAGCTCTTTACAGGACATACAGATTTAAAACCGTGACATGTTTGCTGTCAGAGAAATTCACTAAAATATAGTGTCCACTGCAGTGGTCAAAAGTCTATTCCTCCTGGGTCCCATATACACATACACACACACACACACACACACACACACACACACACACACACACACACACACACACACACACACACACACACACAGATATATATATATATATATATATATATATTACACTGTGTATATATATATATATACACACACATGCATGCATACAGTGCATACATGTTTGTACACATTACACACACACACACACACGTTTTCAAACTAAAGCAGTTAGTATTATTGGTGAAAATAGACCCAAATATATAGCGGCCCCTCAAACTGAAGAATTTTAGTGAACCTGTTATTTAAAAACTGATATTGATTTGATTGACTGAAGTGTTTGATGGGTAGAAACTAGGAAAACATTGTATTCTTGTGTAGAAGATTGAGAGATGTGTAAAATCGTCATCTTTCTGTAGTCTTATTACCATTAAAATCTGAGATTTATTTAATTAAAACATTTTTTACAGCCATAATTTTAATGTCATTTTTGTTTTGTAGTTTTTAACAAATCAAAATCACCCCCATGGAGCCTGATTAAGTACCCCCTGCATTACACATATCCTTGATTGGGAATCATTGGATTAAATAAAAGATTTGCTGATACTTTGTTAGAGCTAGAAGACTTTTGTGTTTTCCACACAGTGCCTTATAAGTATTATTGGAAAACTGTCAGAATATTGGAAAAGTCCCTCGAACTGTCATGTTTCTCCCATTAAATCAATTTTGATGGTGTGAGAAACATCTTGTTGTTGGCTAAAGCTTAATAATGGAGATTCTCTGTATGAGTTGTATAGTATTGGATGTGAGTATAAATATGATATTTGTTGTATTATCAACAGTGAAATTCAAGTTTATTAAAAGCCTTTGAACTGAACACTCATCGGTGGTTATGAGCCACAGTATTAGCACTTTAAGATTGTAAGGCAAGGGTGTAAAATTGTGTCCAATAAAGGATATCTTGCACAAACCCTCACATACCACTCATTAGCAGCTTTAAACGTTAGATTTGACACCGATCGTTATTGAACTGAAAATCCAACAGTGTTTGAGAAAGTCTGGATATACCTGTCTAGCTTTGTAATTCAGAATTTTTTTCCGTACAGATCCGTGTCTTTATATCCCGCGCTTTGCGCAAATGCTGGAATTTGGAGAGAAGAGCCACGAGGTTTCGATGACGGCACTGCGTCTCCTGCAGAGGATGAAGAGAGACTGGATGCACACGGGACGAAGACCTTCAGGCCTCTGCGGAGCAGGTAACCATGGCAACCCTCCCCTAACGGTGCGACCTCTTTAATGATGTGAGCTAGTGAAGGGTTGCTTTGTTAGATGCGCAAAAACGCATGCACCATCGCTGAAACATCCATCCACAGTTGGAATGCACGCTCTAGAAACCCCTTCCAGAACTGAAAGTTTTATATCTGTCGTAGGAAACATTTTAAGATAGTTAGATCTGTCAAAATCTGTAATTAGATCAGGTCACGCATTTGAAGTGGTTCCCAAATCACCAATCGGTTTTAATGAAAGAGAGAGAATGATTCCTTAAAAAAAGTGTCAGCCTTCTCACTCTCACTGAGGTCTGATATTTTTTGGCACTGTAAATTGCCTCAGAGATGCAGTGCAGCTAAATTCTGATGCATGTTCATCAATGTCATTTTTATTTTCTTGCACTTTCAGTCTTGTGTAAGCTTTACACAGGCTGTGAAGTTTGAGTTTTCAGTAATAAGTTTTTAGAATAACTGATGACTCCTGCCTCTCAGCATGATTTTCTCTGCCCCCCCACCCCTTCTCTGCATAACCTGAATAATGAATCTCCCATTAATCTTTCAGGAGCAGTGCTGAGAAAAGAGGAAGCATGAGCCTAAAAGAGTTTGTTTCGCTGCGAGAGATCAGAGACTTGAGAAAGAAAGGCAGAGACTGAAAGAATGTGAGAAAGTCCCAGAATGAAGATAAACTGAGTGGCAGAGAGGACTGCTGAGTGTGATGAATGCCTCAAGCTTGTTGAATAGCCCTCATCTAGTAGCTGAAACACAGATTGATTTGATATCCTGCAGGGTTAAACAGTAGAGGAGGAAACTGCTGTTTTTTTTTAACTTAACATGAACCTGAGCCCAAGATAGCGGTCAGTTAGATACAGCTGACATGCAGTGGAGAGTGGGGTAGAATGTGTTGCCCCTTTAATCTGTCACAACTTAGACCATGTATTTAGAAAGGACTCATCAGATACAGCTGTCTGTGATTGAGAGATGCTAATGAGAAAATTGAAAAGCATTTATATTCTTGTTGTTTACATGACAAAGTACATTTTCTGAATGGCAGGATATATATATATATATATATATATATATATATATATATATATATATATATATATATCTAAAAATATTCACTGCTGTTCTAAATTTTGGGATTTGTAATGTTTTTGAAAAAGGCTTTAACAAAGCTGCATTTTTTTGTATCAAAAATACAGTTAAAACATTGATAGTATGTAATAATATTACTATATGTTTTCTATTTTAATATATTTTAAAATGTAATTTATACTGTGGTAAGCAGGGCGGGACCGAGAGCCGTGGGAATGGAGCGAGGCCGGTGGCGTCAGTGCTAAAGAGCGCTAATATCACCTGCGCTCCACACCGGTCTCGAGTCTCCCGGAGGATCTCCAGAAAGATAAAAGGAGGAGTGACAACAGTGCAAGACGAGAGAGGATCAGGCCTCGCCCCGTTCCCACGGCTCTCGGCCCCGCCCTGCTTGCCACATATTCCTTCAGAAAACTATCTAATATGTTGATTTGCTACTCAGTTGACATTTCTTATTATTATCAATGTTGAAAACAGTTGTGCTGCTTAATATTTTGTGGAAACCGTGATAAAGTCCAAAAGAACAGCATTTATTTGAAATGTAAATCTTTTATAACATCGTAAATGTCTTAACTGTCACTTTTGATCAATTTAATGTGTCCTTGCTGAATGAAAAGTATTAATTTCTTTTAAAAAAAAACTTCTGAACGGTAGAGTACATGATGCATATTGGTGAATTTCCACTTTATAAAACAATGACAAGCAAATGTACTGTAGTTGTAGTGTTTTCAGGGTAAACTGTGTCACTGCTCAACTAATAGTTATAGTAAATTTTGCCTCCAAATGCAGGAAATACTATTACAAAAACTACAAAAAATTACATGGAAATATTTTTCCTGGCTTATTCATAAAAATGTGAATAACGTACTACAAAATACGTCTTTGGAATGAGATTATGAATTAGTGAATTGGGGCGTAATGATGATTATATGTGTATTTGAAATGTAAATTCAGTCATTTTGATGGCACTGATAGCATCGTAGTAAAAAAAATAAATGTATTGTCATTTTGTTTCTTTAAGCAGTACAATAATTTTAGAGAATGGCAGTGAACCATGATGTTATTTTTAAATTAGTTAATCTTGTAGGGATCATTAAGCTCTGAAATTCTTCAGTATCTTTTACATGCTTGCATGCTTTCTGGAGTTGGACATTCTTTAGTTTGTCAGGTAGTTCAGAAGTGCATCTGGCTCTTCATGTTTCTTTAATGAATCAGAGTGAAACAGGCATCAGGGGTTCTGCAGTATTGCAGGTGCATTAAATGTCTGTTTGTTCTGCCTGAGGTGAATCAGTAGGGGGCAGGTACAGTGGACACACTTTTCTGAAGGCCTATTAATGTTTCATATTTGACTATCTGTCCTCTCTCCTTCTCTCTCTCTCTCGAAGTGAAAGTGTGTATGATCTACTTAAAGTTGTGTATTTGTGTTCCCTATAGCGCTCTTGGTTGCTGCCCGTATGCATGAGTTCCGTCGCACAATTAAGGAAGTGATCAGCGTGGTAAAAGTCTGTGAGGCCACACTGAGGAAAAGGTGTGTTTTGTCTTAAAATAATCACAGTATGACCACAAGCTGTGCTCAGTTATGCGTAATATGTCACAGTATCATTCATATTATATAATTGGTGCTATTCCTGGATTTTGGTTTTGCAGTTTCTTTCTGAGGCTTTGAATTTAGGCCCGGGTTTGCTATTGTATGCTTTGACCCCCGGTGTGTTTGATTGAAAGGCTGAATGAATTTGAGGACACGCCCACTAGTGAGCTGACTATTGAGGAGTTCATGAAGGTGGATCTGGACCAGGAGTGCGACCCGCCCTCTTACACGGCTGGAATTAAGAAGCTAAAGCTAAAACAGGTCACGAATCACACTTTTATTTAGAATTATGAACATTTAAAATCAGCCATTCTGTCAATATGTGCTTTCACACAGTGAGACCAATTATTTTCTCTGATGAATTCTTCCACAGATTGAGCTGGAGCTTTCAAAAAAAGTTGATGATATTGAAGGTACCTTGAAACATTTAGACAGAGTTTATGCTCAAATTTTCATCATGGGTGTTTGAACACACACGTGTATGTGCTCTGCAGGTGAAATCTGTGGCTATCAGGATGAGATTGAAGTCGAGCTGGAGAGCTGCAGGCCCAAAGCCAGGGGATTTTATGCATCCTGTTCCAGAGAAGGTATAGTATTCACACACAATCCCGCAGAAAGATTGTTACACAGAAACATGTTTTTTTTCAAGTTCACACTTGCACTAGCATTCCTAAGTTTGTGTCAGTAAGATTTTTTAATGTCTCTTATGTTCACCATCACCAAGGCTCATTTATTTGATGAAAAAATCCGTAAAATCAGTGTAAATAAATATAATTTATTCCTGTGATGGCAAAGCTGAATTTTCAGCAGCCATTACCTTCAGTCTTCAGTGTCATGTGATTCTTCAGAAATCATTCTAATATGCTGATATGATGCTCAAGGAACATTACTTATCACAGATAAAAACGGTTGTGCTGCTTAATATTTTTGTGGAAACTTTGATGAATTTGTTCTGGAATATTTCAAGAATATAAAGCATTTATCTAAAATAGTAATATTTGAAAACAATTTAAATGATTTAACTCAACTTAATGCTTTCATGCTGAATAAAAATATTAATTTATTTTTTGTTTAAACAATTGTACTGACCCCAAACTTTTGAATGGTAATGTATATCGTTTCTTAATGTGAGGGTAACATTTTTAACCAATGCAATACACACACACACACACAAAAAAAAAAACTCCTGGTGACCTTAAAAACATGGAATGTTTTAAGTATTCCATGAAATATCAACCTTTTTATATCATTGTTAATCATTTATATTTAAATATAATTTTTATATCTAAAAAATATTTGAACAATTATTAAAAAATTAAGTATCCAGTATTTCAAAATGACAAACATTTTATAATACAGAAATATAGCTTAATGTGGGATAGACTTGGCTCGCAAGTACAGCTATCAAGTGTATTCTAATTTCTAGGCCAGTTTATTGTGCATCAACAGGTTTTGAGACTAACATGCTTGGCTTTACTTAAAGATTGTCTATGGTGCATTGTCTCAGATGGGAGCGCATATTTATAAAACCGTAAGAATTTGTTTACAAAGAGTGATGATTGGCTGTTGTGTGGAAAGCACTTTTATAGAGATGGTTTGCTTCATGAGAACCACAATTATTGGCGAATGACGCTTAAAACAAATGATTATATTGTTGTCAGAATTTCTCTTTGTTTAGTGAGAACTGCTGCTCTCACAACGTTTTCTTCAGGAAGTGGAGTGTTACTTCCCTTGTGCAGAAATTCTGTTTACGTTTCTGTCCAATTAGTTCCTTGTTCAGCAGCACTCGCATCCAGAGATCCAGTGCTAACCCATGCGTGATATATCTCTCTCTAATGTAGTGATTACAGGAGGGAGCTAATTAAGACTGCGAGCGTGGGAGTGTTTGTGTGTGTGCCTGAGTGCCTTTTCATGCATGTGTGTTCACTTTTCTATAGTGTGTGTGTGCGTGCATGTTGTGTTGCTGCGGTCAGCCGTGTTAGTTTATATAATTACTTTCTTCCCATGTCAGCTGGATCATAGTGAATCAAAATCAAAGGGCGAATGCATTCATGTTTTAATTAGCTAAATAATTTAATTACAAAAATAATTTTACTTTATTTGCATACATACAGCAGTTTCTTTTCATCTTTATACTCCGTTTACCTTTTATTTGTTGTTCCTGCAGTTATATGAGAGACTTAATTTGTGATGCATGTGTATTTTCTCGCTTGCTTTTCCCAGATGATGTGATTTCCTTGGCATCATCCGGTGTCCTTGCTGGTGATGATGAAGGAGAGGACGATGAGCTGAGGGCAGCAGCGTCTCACCTGTGCAGTGCTGTATGTGGAGATGATAGAGGTGGCTATCAGCAGGAGCGAGATGGAGAGAAAGTCTCTCCAACCAAACGGCCCTCGTTAGCATTATTGCTTGGAGCTTTGCCCACTGCGGCCAGTTTGGGCCTGCCCGAGTCCATCACCAAAATGGGAGAGGAGAAGGAGAACGGTAGGAGTGTGACACCTCTTTCAAGTTGCATAGACACTTAATCCATTTTAATTCCACAGTCATTCTTTGTTACCACAGTTTTGCCGTGATAAGATTGACAGGGTACAAGCAGAAGAAGAGGAGTGGCACTAGAATGACAACTTTGTGAAACATTAACATTCTTTTCATCCATTTCATTCCACATTTGAGCTTCATTCTTTTTTGTTTTATGAGTTTAAGAAGTGTGCAACTATAGTGACTGCTTTTTTTTAAATGCATTCCCCCAGTTTCACAGACAAGGCTTGAGCCTAGTCCCAGATTAAAACGCATGTTTGAGCTGTTTTAACTAAAAGCAAAAAATATATCAGTGCCATTGTTTTGTCTTACGATGCACACCAGAAGTGTTTTTTTCTAAGGCACGTTAATAAAAGCTACTTAAATGCCCTAATTAAACGAAGGCCTAAACCTGGCTTAATCTAAACCCTGTCTGTGAAACCGGTCCTAAAGCGTTTCTTTCATTTAATCCAATTTCATTCAGTCACACATTTGTACTATTTAGTACTAACAGCATTAGGCAAGGCAAGGCAAGGCAAGTTTATTTATATAGCACATTTCATACACAATGGTAATTCAAAGTGCTTTACATAGAAGAAATTAAAATAATCAAAACAAATAAGAATAATTAAAACAGTTTAGAATAAAAAATAAAGTACAGTAAAAACAGTCGGACGAACAGTGGCACAGTGCTCATTCAGTAAATGCATAGCTAAACAGATGTGTTTTGAGTCTGGATTTGAATGTGACTTCTGTAGGAGCACATCTGATCTCTTCTGGAAGCTGGTTCCAGCTGCGGCTGGCATAATAGCTAAAAGCAGACTCTCCTTGCTTAGAGTGAACCCTTGGTATTTCTAGCTGATGTGATCCTAATGATCTGAGTGATCTCTTAGGTTTATATTCAGTGAGCATATCTGCAATATATTTAGTCAAAGAAGAAGAAGAAGAGTTGAACTGGAGTGACTCCTTTTCAAAACACTCACATTAATCCACTTTCGTTCAGTCACACATTTGTGCTATTACAGCATTAGTCGAGGAAGAAGAAGAAGAGTGGTTCTGTAGTGACTCCTTTTCAAAACACTCACATTAATCTACTTTCATTTAACATTCATTGTTAAATCACACACTTGTGCTATTAGGACATATTAAGTAGAAGAAGAATAGTGGAACTCGAGTGATTTTTCTTTTCTATAAAATAATTAATTTTCTTTTAATTTATCCCACTTAGTGAGAGTTACCCAGCGTCTGGAGAGCAGAACTCAAGAGTGACTTGTTTATCTGAAATGATTGCAGTATCTTTTATGGTTGTTGCGTTTACATTATGCGAGAGCATTCGAGAATAAGACTTTGTTCATCACAGGCAGAAGAGCTGCAGCTTGTAAACTCCCGAGGATAGAGTGCTGGCAGATTGTCAGATTGTGTGATTGGCTATGCGAGCAGGTTGTCATGTTTTCGATTGGTTGTGCTGATTGTGGATGAATTGTATGGGGCGGAGGAAGAGGAAGCCCCCCTCCACTCTTTGAAGCACTAATTGAACACAGCACCTTGTCATTAGCGCACTGTCTTTCATCCACCCACTACGGCCGGCTGTATGCACATTTGATTGCCCGCGAGACCCGCGCATACAGTGTGTGTGTGTATTTTGGTTTGGTTTTTGAGTTGGCTTCAGGAAAAACCATGACTCAGAGAGGAGGTATTTTTTAGGTGTTTTTGTTTTGCCCAGTGTCCATGTAAACTCAAGTGAATGCCTTGTAGAACTGTGACAATGTCATTTATTTCCCTCAATTTGCTCATTTCATCTCCGTGATGATATGGCCACTGACAAAATATGGCTCTCTCTGAGTGTGTGCACTCTTCTGTCTTGGTTCTGTCTACTTCAGCTTTTTCTGTCTATTCTCCCTGTTTATTTTTAGGCTACCTCATTGTTCCATTCCAGACAATAAGATACTTGTTAGAGTGTTCTAGTTACTGTGCGTGAGAGTGAGATTGAGCTGGATGTTCTTATTTAAAACTGCAGAAGTGTTTGTTTGTGTTATGTGCGAGTATATGTTGCATCAGAGAGAGAACTTTCACTACATCATTAAACTTAATGACATTATCACAATTATTGGCACCATTCGTCTTGTCTGTCATCATAATTTACCTTGAAGAAGAATTACTTCACCCAAAAAATGTGTTTATTTTTTATTTACTCACCCTCATTTTTTTTCAAACCTGTATGACTTTTTATTCTTTTGTGGAACACAATAGAAGATATTTTAAATTGGTGACCTTCCATTTTATGAACAAAAAACACTGAGGCTTCTCCCAAAATATCTTCTTTTATGATCAACAGAAGAAAGTCATACAAGTGAACTATCCCTTTTTAGTGACTTTAATTATGTTACCTCTTTAATTTATTCAATTTTTATTTAAATTAATCAATTCTTTTACTCTACACTGTTATTTTATTTCCGCAGAAGCTGTTTTGAATGATATACTGTACTTACTTTTACACTATGTATTGTACTACTGTATATCGTATATGATTTGTTAAAGAATGGTAATGTCTCAGATACAACAGGTTTTGTTTTATTACTTGGATTTGGAGTTTTCAATTAAGCAAAATATTTCATAGTGTCACGTATGTCCTCTTATAATGTTGCTGCTAGCTTTAGCATGTTAACTAACTTGAGTCAGCCCCAAGTTTGAAATTTCGTCGTCTTTTTACATTGCTTATACTACAATATTATGTAGACCAATGTAGAATTTTTGTTATTTTGCTCTTTTTTTACACTGTGTACGAACAAAAATGTTAAAGTGCCCCTTTTATAGTTTTTCTAATATGCCCTTTCTTGCAGTGTGTAATATAGCTGTCTGTGACTGTAAACGTTCTACAAAGTTGTAAAGTCGAAAGTGCACGATAAATAAAGTTATTGTATCCCAAAAGAATCGACTCTGAACCGCCTAAAGAGTCATCAGGAATTCAAATCCCACTGCGTGATGGTTCTACGTCACTAGAAAAGACATTTGCATAATGTCCGCCTATTTTGCACGTTGTCCGCCTGCGAACAACTTGAACCGGAGTTCAATGCGGGATTCGCAAAACGCTTGTTCTGGAAAGATGGGTCTGTAGTATTACCCACCCATTTTATTTGGACCAACTTGCTCCTCAGAATCACAACCTGTAAGTATGAATAAGTATTAATTATTTGATGTATATGTTTTCTACCGGGTGTTCAAAATACATAGTTTTTTGTGTTTTATATTGTGTAAGTTTCTGGCTGACATTACGGTTTTACTGAAAAAATCCCTGCAAATCAGCTGTAGGCCACTATTACCTAAAACTGTTTCTATTAATGCAGATCGTCCATTGTTCTTACTACTTTAAATAAAGATCAAGGATGGAGCAAGATTTGTTTTACAAACTTTAATGTTACATCAGTCATTTCCATTAGTGCTCAGCTAACACATGCACTGTTATTGATACAGTTCCCCCATGTGCATTTTGAGTAGTGTATCTCTGAGAAACGTCCTACTCAAGTCATCCTTGCGATGGAGGTTTTGGTTGAATAAGTAGTTCTTCCAATGTTTCATCATCGCTCGGATTGATATGGTAAAATCAGCGTCATCGTTACTGTCTTTACAGTGTATACAATCGCTGAGGAATGAGTAAGCCTCCGGACAGAGCTGAAGTTCAGTTATGGTAATGGACGTTTAGCTTCCGACATGCGCTGTAAAGAGTAGACCAATCACAACAGACTGGGTCATCTGGCCAATCAGTGCAGAGTAGACTCTCGGAAAGGAGGGATTTAGAGAGACTGGTTCATCCGTCCAGTCCTTTGAGAATCATTGAAAAATGTGGTGATGTGCAATGTATATTATGAGAAAATGAAAGTGTTTTTTGACCTTTGATGCGTGTAAACCTATTGTAGGAGACTTTCAAAACAAAATCAGGAGCCTTTAAAATAGCATAATAGGGGCACTTTAATATATGGCAATATATTAACTATTGAAACTGTGAGAGCGAGCAGGCTATATGGATGTCCATCCTCTCCTCCTCTTGTTTTTTCTTTTTTGTAACTTTTCTTTTTGCCTTGTTGTTCTGTTTTTCTAAGGTCAGTTCTCTTTTGTGAGGATGTCAGAATGGTGTCCCCGTTGTCTCTTTCTCTCTCTCTGTCTGTGTGTGTGTGGGGGGGGGAGAGAGATCTGGTGCTGTTGTGTAATGCAGTGTATTTTTGTGAGGGGGCGGAGGGCCTGTGATCTTAACAATGCAGCAGTGAGTGCGAGTCTCCAGATGGTCATTCACTGTCCTCTGACCACACAGCAGGAGATACCAGCAGCATCCCCAGGTTTACTGTGATTCTATACGTTTCTGTTTTTCCTTTTTGTTTATAGATCAGTCAGTATATTAAATGTATTTGCGCACTCTAGTTTCCATTCCCTTTGCATAATGTTACTGTTCACTGTTTATCTGCAACAGAAAAGAGTGGATGGAGTCTTTCCTCCCCTCCCCATCCTTTAGAATCTCCTGAATCTTCAGAGCAGGAGGAGATAAGAGACTTGTTCATTTACACCAAGAAAGAGTGGGAGGAGATAGAGAGAGAGAGGAAGGGAGGGAGAGGTGCCTTTCAAAGGAGAATGAAAGACAGAGTAAGTGTGTGACTGACATTTATTCTTCTTGCTCGCTTTGAACGCATCCTCAAGACAGCTGTTAGGGGTTTGTAAAGGACAGATGGGCCAAAAGTGACGGTAATTTACATTCATAAGGCCTTTATAACACAGACAGATGTGGCTTTGTTAGTCTTTATAACAATGTTCATAAACACCATGTTTAGAATCATGTCACTGATCACATGGTTTGAATTTTGAGGTGCCCTTTTGATAATAATTGAATACTTTATTCAGCAAAGACCAGTTGATCAAAAGTGACAGTAAAAACATTTATGAAATTGCAAAGGATTTCTATTTCAAATAAATGCTGTTCTTTTGAACTTTCTATTTATCAAAGAATCCTGAAAAAAAATTTATCATGGTTTCCACAAAAATATTTAGCAGCACAATTGTTTTTAACATTGATAATAATATGAAATGTTTATTGAGCTCTAATATGCTGATATAATGTTTATATCAGCATATTAGATCATGTGACACTGAAGACTGGAGTAATGATGCTGAACATTCAGCTTTGCCATTACAGGAATTACTTTTTAAAATATAAAAGTAGAAAACGGTTATTTGAAATTAATAATATTTCACAGTATTTTTACTGTTTTTAAATACTGTTGTTACTGTATTTTAGATTGAAAAAAATACAGCCTTGGTGAGCATTATAGACTTTTTCAAAGAATCTTTTAAAAATAATACTGACCCCAAACTTTTGAACGGCATTGCATATTTATTTATATATAAATATAAAATGTTAATGTTCTCATCAAATTTATCATCAATATTCAGTTACTTAATTTTATTCAACAAAATACAAGAATGTATTATGGATAAATAATAAATATATCGGCAAACTATAGTTTTGAATTTTAATTATTGTATACTTTTAAAATGAGTTTTTAAAGCTGTGAAACTATTGTCATAGCGAGTTTTAGTGTAGTTTTCAACTTGACACACTTATGATTCATAATGTTTTCATTCCGTTAGTTTTTCCTGCCGTTTGATTGATTCTCTTTATAGTTTTCATCCTTGCCACTCATTTATTGCTTTTTCTTCTAATGAAATGCAAGCACTGACAGTGATGTGATGTCATCTGACAGAGACGCTGCTATCTGTGTGAAATATGACATCATAAAAGTGTGACTGACTGATAGACTTGTGCAGAGGAAAACAACAAATGACTATGGGAGGCCCGATCCAAGTGATAGACACGTTCACTTTACCGTTAACATGCACTGACAGAAAAATCTGTGCGTGGACCCCCGTGAGGCTGTTTTCCTGTCTAGATTTAACACCTGAAGGGCAGCCGAATGTGAGTGAGAATGAGAGATCTCATGAATAAAGTCTGTTCAAATCTTTTCCTCTTGCCGGTACATTTACATTTTATTGTTTAAATGTGTCTAACCCTCCCCCATTTTTGGTCTGTAGATGTACAGTAGAGTGTGAAAAAGTACATGCATATATTTTCTCTTGACATTTTCTCTCTCTTTCCAGCCTCTGGGCGATATAGACGGTTGTAGCAGGTGTGTGAGTGGGCGAGGGGTTTCCCTGGGGAAGTCACAGGGGCAAGAAGGGGTCAGTTTTTAATGGGCCTGTCTGCCCTCTTCGCCTCCGGAAGAAAACCCCCTTCCTCTCTCTTTCCATATCTCTGCATCTCCATTGTTCGTCTTTTCCTTTCCATGAGCTTCAGTGCTTGTTCTCCTGACCCGCCAGTCAGTTTGAGTGACGTTATCAGATGATTACGTTTGATGAGCTCCTGCTTGTGTTGAAGAGTGAGAATTGTCTATGGGAGAGAAAGAAAGGAGGTGTCCATCTGGTGGTATCTTGAAATATCTGTTTGTATTTAGTCGGACACAGTGCTCGACTCTGAACAGGTGTTGGTGTCAGTGAAACCTCTGGAGACGAGGGGGGCCTTTTGAACGCACGTGGAAACGCTAATGTCTGGGTGGACAACATCATTCAGAAATGTAGCTTTACGACTGAGGTTTTTGGATTTAAGAACAGGGGAATAGATGAAGAGGGAGAATGATTAGTGTAAAGTGAAGTCTCTCATTTGTTGTTTCTCTTCTCTGTAATTTTGTTGAACTTGGCTCCTTTTTTCTGCTTCTCAGGTTTTTATTTGTTTTTTTTGCCTCTGTTGTGTTCAGGGGATGTTAAAGGGACAGGTCTTTCAGAAATTAAAGTTAGTGTTTACTCACCCTTAGTTTACTGTGTGCAACAAAACAAATTGAAGACTATTCAGACTATGCTTTTTTTTCTTTAGAGTGTACAGGTGCTGAAAAAAGCTTTAAAATTGTTCTTTTGTATTGGATCTATTCATTGAATCAGTTGATCTGGTTTACAATTGGGCTGGTTTACAAATGGGACTTATCCAGTTTATAGACTTAATATATTAATTTACAACGTTGAATATTGACCTATGAAATCACAATTGACGATTCTTCTTTTTATGGAATATTGCAGTTTATTATAAATAATTTATCTATGTGCATCATATTATTTAAAAAAAAAATGTTTTAAATGAACAAACGACATCAATCCAGTCTGTTCCTGTTGGGCAAAATCAAGTCCCACCCTACATTTCTTCTCATTCGAGAAGCTATTTCACTCAAATATACATCACCATAATCAAGAAAAGATTATTGAAATTTGTTTCGTGCCATCTTTGAATTTAGCTTCGTATTGCCATTAAAATTACTTAAAATATAGTGCACGAGTTATATGGGCTACATTTATGGTACATTTGCTTCCTTTTTTTGAAGCTTGAATTCTTTAGTGCCAATTAATTTTAATAGCAAGTAAACAAAATTGGTAAAATCTTACCAGACAAAGAAAAAATCCTTATAGTGGCTTATACCATTAGGGGGAGTAAATGATTTTTCATTTTTGGATGAACTATACCTTTAAGTGACGGTACTTCATTACCATGTCGATGCAGAAAAACTAACAATAACAGTTTATTTTTACTTTTCTTTTTAACAGTATTCAATCCCTAAGTGCTGTCTGACTGACATGCAGCTGCTGTTGAACACTCATGCATATGCATATGTCTTCAGGTAGTGCAGCTGCACATATGCACACTTTAAATGCTATTTTTAGTCGAATGTACTTTCTGGCGAGCTAAACACAGTTGGTTATGTCCTAAGTGAATGAAAACAGACAGTACAAAAACAACAACATTTGAACATGAACACAAAGTTAGGCCTAATGGGAAAGACAGACTGCAGTGCTTGTTTTATTACAGTTTCTTGTCTTTATTCATCTTCTTGGATCCAGCTGCACCTGGTAGTCTCTCTCTGGTGTGGTTTTATTTCGCCTGTTGTAACTAATCTCTGCTATTCACGCTCTCACCACATCACACACGTGACTCATAGCACAGTGTTTTAATGTGTGGTGTTGGAGGACTTGTGTGTGTGTGTGCAACTGCGCGTGCATTGGTTGTGTATTGTGTTTAGTCTGTGCTTGTTCAGATGCGAGATGAGGTCAGGTTTCTTGACTCACGGGATCGACTGACATTGAGGGGCCTCCGTTCAGAGGTGAGAAAACAAGAATTTCCCTCTCTGTTTTTCCCCCTAACCCCCCATCCCCATTATAACACATGAGAGAGAGAGAGAGGGATGCTCTATAAAGCAAACTTCTGAAGCGTTGCCAACAATCTCCAGGCAGAAAGAAAAGAGTAAGGATGGGGGAAGGGAGGAACTGGACCTGGAAAAGAGGAAAAAGACGGAAGGCAGAGGGGGAATAACCCTGGAAGTTGCTACTGTAGAGCCACTGGTTTAATGATCCCAGCAGCCCCAGTGGACTTTCTAGTAAGATTTGCTACAGGGCAGGGACCACAGAGAAACACACACATATTTTTCAGTATGTTTTGCCATGTGAATTTGCTGAGGGACATTTTATGTGAAGGTTTTTGGGTTGGACTGCAGTGGGATATTCTATGTATCTCCACTAACCTAATTTAACAACTGGCTCAGAGAAATGTTCTCTGATGAATGGCAGCATGTGTTTCTCCTTAGGAAAGTGAAACATCTAATACACTTTAATTATGTGGCGTAAACGCCAGGCAAAACTTTTCTCTTTTCCTTTTGCCAAAGCAGTCTGAAATAGTCACAACACAAATTTAAAAAAAAATGTTTTGTATTATTATTATTGTTTTTATTTTGTCATTTTTATTTTGTTTTACATTTTTTATTTTGTGATTTATTTTTGTGATTTTATTCTATTTTACATTTATTTTTATATTATAATTTTTGTACAAATTATTCAGACTTCTGATGTTCTTATGTCCATCAATAAAAGATTCAATATTCAGGAACTCTTTGTTTCTTTGTTTTTCTCCATCAGATGTGGAGGCAGAAAGCGGTGAGCTAGACCTGAACGGTATCGACGAGGACGAGATTGATCGTGTAAGTTTTGACCTCACTATAGTACCGACATGGTCATTTGTAATTTGGTTCTTTCAAGGGGTCATATAATGCCATTTTCATACAAGTTAATTTGATTCTTTAGGGTCTAAATGAAAAGTTTGTAATATACTTTAATTAAAAATTCTCATTAGTATTGTAAGAAAACACTCATTTTACCTGGTCAAAAACAGCTCTGTTTTCAGCACGCCGTTTCAGTGCATATCCCTTTAAATGATAATGAGCTTCGCTCACCCCGCCCCTCTTTACTGCGGGCGTTTTGACACAACGCATGTGGAGTGTTGCCTTGATAACAGTTGAGGGTATATTTTGGAGAAAGAATGGCAGCGGGAGTCTCTGAGGACACATCTGTGCAACCGTATCAGTTTGAACCGGAGTCGGACCCGGAACAAGATGACGGCCTTAAAGAAATTCGACAATTAAGGCTCGAACAGGACGTTTCTGAATGGTTGGTTAACATAATGTCACTTTGCACTTTGATCTATCTTTGTGTACTTGCAGGGTAGAGTAACTTAGTGAAATGCACGAACGCTATGTGTTTACTGATGTATACGTACTCCGTTTGTAATAACACAATAACCATAACGCGTTGTTCATTATAAACGTAGGATTATGAATTATATTGAGAACGTCTTATAGAAAACATGCCGTAATGTACCCTGAGTGTAAACCTTAGCCGGATTCATCATGAAGCGTGCAAGCGATTTGCAAAGATTAATATAAAATATACAATTTTACACTCACTTCTCTGGAGGTGCAGCAGGGACACGAATAGTTGGTACCGATTCTATTTTCAGGAGCAGCTTCTTAGCAAAACCAGCTTTATACTGAGTCTGACCCTCGTTTATAAAGCAGTCTGGTGAGAAATGATTTGTGAATCGCGCAAACATGAACGCATTGTCGTTGCCCGTGGGGAATATTCCATTTGGGAACAAAACTCAGCCACTGCGTCTTCAGCGTTTCGGATTTAGGAACATCAAAATGACTGTGTTCGTTATTTCACCCAAGAACAGAACACCACAATCGCTTAGACGCCATTCTGCTCCAGTGTATCAACAATGACGGACTATGATAACAGCTCGCTCAGGGCGGGGATGTGTTGAAACGCTGCTGTCAATCAACAATCGTGGGAGGGGCATCCGTTTTATTGACGTCACAAAAACGAACGGCTCAATTTGAGGCAGGGGAAAACATATAAGGAGATTAAAACAAAAACACTGGATAGATTTTCATCATTATAGGATGGTTGTGTACAGGCACTGCCAACACACATTTCAGTACAATCAACTTGAAAAAGTGGATGTACCATTATATGACCCCTTTAAAGAGCATATTGTAGGTAAAAAAAAAAATCTAAATTAATATATAACCTTGTATGAAAATACCATATGAAAAGGTAATGCAGGATTTAAAATGTTTTAAAACGACATAAGGGCACTAATTTAGTAGATAAAGTGAGCGTTTCTTGGACTGCTCGTAAAAACGGCTTTTTTTTCAACATCGCGTCATTTTACGTCACGCTAGGGAGCCTCAGCCTCGGCTCAGTGCAGAGCAGGCTGGCATTCAGTGAGAGCGGCCGTGAGTCAGTGTGTTTTCGGTAGTTTTTGTATTTCAATCTATCATCGTCATGGTAAATTATTGTGTTTGTGGAGGTTGCAAAAACTCCGGCCTGTCAGGACATCGAGTCCACAGGTTTCCCACACAAGAAAAACGGTGCTGCTGTATATCTTTCGTGCCTGGTGCGGTTTGTGCAGGTGAAGAGACGGGTTTTCTCTTCCGCATCGGCTTCGAGAAACGCGGTCGTGTGTATCTTTCACTTCAGATCGTGTGTAGCGTTCACTTCAGATCGGAGGATTATCATCCCGGCGATATGATGGAGTTTAACATGGGATGCCGAAGCAAGAATATTGATCGTCGTATACTGTACCAATGGCATCAAATAGTGTGATATAGGGAGTCATGCCCTAAATAGAGGAAACTTGTAATTGAAAAACAAAATTACTAGGTTGATTAAATATTCAAATCTTTAATTTTCTGTTTATGTTATAACCCAGATGAAAAATATGTTTTAAAAATGTACTTGAGTATGTTTTTAGTAACTTACAATAGAAATATACTCAAGTATAGTTTTTATACATTTAATAGTATACATCTACCCTAAACATACTAATGTCTGCTGGCCTGATATACGATGGTAATAATCTGTACAATATTGTGAGCACAGTGTATATCGTTAGCGAACGTGTATCTATAAGCATGTCTCTCACCAAGACACCTGTCCTGTTCTCCACTGGTTCTCCTCACACCACAACTCAATGTGTCTCTGACCGTTCTGTCTGACATTAATCCTGGCCTGTCCCTACTCTCTTGGCAGCATAGCAGGCTCATAATTGTATGGCTGTAGTCCATAATTGTAAGTATTTCCTCAGCGTCCGAAATGTCATTGCGATCCATTGTTTTCCTGTTGTTTGAATCGACCGCTCTCCCGCCCGTTACGTCACGCCCACCACACCCATTTTCAGACGCGGAAGTAACATTTTCTCACAAAAACGACTCCAGAAGCTTATGTAGCGTATTTATAAGAATATTTTAAAGAAAATCTAGTTCCTACATTATTTTTCTATACATTGACTCGTTGGGTCCTCTAACCTGCAATATGCCCTTTAAAGCTGAAATCTGAGATGGGATTTCACTTCCAAAAAAATGAATAATGGAATTGCTTTAGAATAGAGTGGAATGAGATTTGTCATGATTTACAGTCTGTTTAGCTCGTCCACCATGACCTGAGCGATTTATATATTGTTTTTTTCTTTATCTTTCTTTTTTTGTATTAGTATATCCTGAATGAGAAGGAAGTTAAGGTGAAGACCGAACTGTGGATGCTTCAAAATGCAGACTACCTCAAAGAACAGAAAGGTGGAGAAGATTGAACTGTCCCGTTTGTTATTTTTACCCTTGACAGATTCATTTAAAAAGACAACATTTAATCAAGTTTGCAACACTTTTGTTAGAACAATATGTTTGTTTTTCTTCAGAAAAGGAAGAAAGAATAGCAAAGGAAAAGGAGGAGGGTACATATAAAGAGCGGAAGGTAACAAGGTAGTTCATAAATGACAGTTGTAGCTGCGAGGGTCACAAATGTATGAGTTTACCTCCGTGTTTTTGTGTGTCATTTCACAGCCTAGAAAAAAGTCAGCACGGAGGCGTGAGCCCATCAATGCCAGCACTGCAGATGAAGCCATTGAAAAGATGTTAGAGCAGAAACGCATCTCCACTAAAATAAACTACGATGTCCTGAAAGACTTGAACAAATCCAGCCCAAAAAGTCCCACTCGCCAGCCTGAAGAAGCTTCCACTGGAGCCAAAAGAACCCCCGCGGCCCATCAACGGAAACTCCAACTGACTTCACCCAATATTGGCAAAACTGTCAGCAGTTTTGGCAAGAGGTATGGAGTTCTAGGAGAAAGGTTTCTTATGTCTCGATTTATTTCAGTTTTTCTTCAACTCCCTAGTTTTTTTCTTTGGATTTGTTTTTGCCCACACACCTTAAATCACACATTCTGTTCTAGAAAATCCTCTAAACTCACCGCCTGTCCTAGAAAATTCCCACCATCACAGTCTAACTCCATATCTAATCCAAGCATGATGCAAAAAAATCTCTTCCGTTTAAAAAACTTTTTATCCCTACCAGCTGCAACCGCATTGAGTGACTGACTGGACATCTTATTGATTTGGTTGCTATTACTTTTTCGTGTCGACCAAGGTTGCCCCGCCCACAGAGATATCTTACTCCGCATAGATGTAAATTAAACATCAATTATGATCTGATCGACTATGTTTGTGTCGCATTATGGAGCATTTTGTGACAGGCAGATTATTTCGGATTGGAAAATTGTTGGGTTTAGAAAAAGTGGTTGCAAATTTTTTTGTAATTTTTAGTAATACATTTAGGAATCCTGTGTCTTGGAGTCTCAAAACAGATCCACTCCTATTAATACACCCTGATTTTTCTTCGTCTGCCCACACCCTTTATTGGACTCTTTCCTGTAACCACCTCAAGCTCTTTTTCTCTTCTGTGCTAACTATAGACCTACGGATACACAATGGCAGGGTACATTACTGTAACTGTATCATGATCCCTGCTATATTTTCTTACTCTGTTTATACGTTTAAATTCACATGAACACTATTTTCTATTTTACCATGTTCAAACAAGGTGCATCTGCTACACACAGTCTGCCTTCTTTTCATAAATCATTGAAATTGTATTTTTGTTCAAGGAAAATTCATGTTTTACATCAGCTTAGTAACCGCAGTCTAATAAAATTATCCTATTATGCTGTAGCGTTTTCTGCTTTCAGTTTTTCCATGCTGCATTAGTCAAAACATTTCCCAGATCACATAATTTTGTGGTCATTCTTTCTTGTAGCATCTTGCTATACCTACAAATAGTATCATGGTATTGCCATGGTTTTTGGACCTCAAAAGTTAATTTTGCTGATGAGATTTATAATGTGGCCTTTTTCTTAAAGTACCTTAAAGCACCATGTAAATACTGTCTTGTATGAACAGTTTAGTCTTTCAGTACCGTAGTGAAGTACCATGGATTTATCATCTGATAATGTACTTCACAGCACTTTTTAAAGTAGCATAATCATTTAGATGTACTCAAATTATCATCAAAACTCTAAATTCCCATATGTTTAAATTTTATTATGAAGAATTGATAGCCTGAGAGAAAAAGCTAATTGGGGTCTCACTCATGACCCTCAAATGGAAAATCTCCAGAGCTTTGTGGGCCGGACTGCAAGTGTGAAAGGTCCTTATGTTTGTTTCTCTCTTTTTTATGTCCTTTACTCTTTTTGTGCCCTTGAGTACAGGGCAGGTCTGTTAAGAATAGCTAAGTCTATGCTAAATTAACTGTGTGTGTGTGTGAGAGAGAGAAAATCCCATGCATATGGTCAGTCAGAATAGCCTCATTCTGCTCTATATTTAGTCTCTAAATGCTGGTATGGAACACATTAAAGTTTAGAGCACATATTTAAAGTGAGGCCCCACTGTGGCCCACTCCCTAGTACCCTCCTTTTTGGAGAATATGTGTGTGTGCTCTACTACCGTGTACTCATTTCCATTCGTGTTGTTAGTCTTTGGTTTCTAGGTTGTCATTAGTCATGGATATTCTCTCTTTAAGGAGAGGCTCTTGGTGGCCCTGCACACAAAATGTGCTCCGACAGTTTGTCTTGACACTGTAAGGCCAATATCATGGAACAATGAGCAACTCTCTCTTTTCTCTCTCTCTTTGAGTGGCCAGTTTCATCTGTGTGGTGTTTTTCTCGTTGATTGAATTCTTGAAGTGAACAGGATAGATCTTCTGAATCATTCATTCTGAAAGTAGCTTTTATGTTTGTTTTTTTCTGAATGGAAAGGTGAGCTATCTGAACATCCTTTTAAAAGCCATTACACTGTTACCATGCCACTGCCTCTCTTCCAGCTTTTCCCTCTTCTCACTCATAACAGCCTGCAGTCTGTTTATTGAATGGAGTCTACCTGAATGGGAGTGTCTGTATTATTCAGTGACTTGCCTTTTACCGCTCAAAAATGACCTTACCTTGTTTTCTCCTTTTTTTTTTTTTTTTTAGTTACTTGTAGTCTCATTCTAGGGCTTGGCAATATGGCTAAAAAAATAAAAGGCTTTTATGTATTGAACAATATTTTGTGTGTGTGTGTGTGTTGTTGTGCTGACAGTAAAGCCATTGTATTCCGCTCACTCCCATCCTCTGTTGCACACTGAGGTATTGTGTTATACACAGACACTCAACCTCCCTTTTCTGCTTCTCTGCTGTATTTTTACAGCATATTCCCGACACCCCGCAACTGCCTGAACATCTACCCATCTGTTGGTCTGTTCATCCCTCCATTCTACTGAACCTTAAATTTAATAAGTCTCTCACAATCTCTCACATTCTCTCACTCTCTCGTCCAGAAATAGCTTGTATAATTGCCCCCTGCTGTTTTAACCCCCTCTCCCTGGTTCTCCTCCCTCCTCCTCTGGTCATTTTCTTGTCCTCTCAGATACCCGCAGCTCAGCATTTATATAGATCCATATAGAGCAATGGAGATTATAAAAAGTGTGTGTGTGTGTGTGTGAGAGACAAATGCCAAAGGTTTTCATTAGAGTTGGAGGTAGGGCTTTGTGAGAACCTGAGATGGATTGTGCTTATTTTTGTGGTCCTTTGTTCTTCCAACACTTCCTCTGTATCCATACATGAGATCATCTCATGTTAGACATTCACACCTGGAGTGCCAGAAATCGCCATCTCACACCATCACACATCTGGTAATTAAACAGTCTCCTCCTCTCTGTCTCTCAGACAGCTGTTATAGACTCGCTTCCCCGATTTTTTTATTTTCTTTCTTTCTCTCGCTTCCATCTCTCTTCCTCTGAGGTTCCTTCTGCTGTCGGCTCAGAGTTTCTTTCTTAATCAGCTTACTTGCAGAAAACCTACATCTCTAGAGAAAGAGACAGAGAGGTGAGCTGTCTGCGAGATCAAAGAAAGTTGAGTTTTTCTCAAGGCTGAATTGACCCAAAAACTAGAGGAAGTTTTCGTCATCTTCGAGGAAAAGAGAAAGCCTTATCTCTGCCTGGGACCAAAACTTAGCTTCTGAGATGAAGAGACCGACGACTTAGGCAGTTGCTCATGCCTTCAAGCGCTCAGCAGTAATAGTGTCATACTCTTTCAGCTCAATAAAATAAAGGCCCCTGTTGACATCAGCCATTTAGTCATACGCTGAGAGCAGCATATGAAATAAAGGGGTGATGAGGAAGGTCAGAGTAAATGCTGAACAGTTTAAAATGTTAAAGTGATCTGTGAGAAAGAAATCATGTCATCACAACCACAAACCAAAGACTGTCATACACAATTACTAATGGTAAGAGGAAAAAATAGATAGTATCACAATAGTATTCTGAATTTCTCAAAATAAACTTAGATATATACTTTTTTTAATGTTAATATTTTTATGGAAAAGAACATTCAGTTATTTCTGTTCAAATAAAATCCTTTTAATCGAGTTATGATTCTGAAAAGCATGAAAATATATCACAGTTTTGAATAACTGTCACATAAAGAATTACAATATTATTGTATTGTGACCCAGATATCAATATACTGCATCACCAGGGCCCTGATTCCCATCTCTAATCATTATTGTTGTGCTATGTGAATAATTGACCCACTCAGTGGTGTGAACAATTTATCAGCCCTTGACGTAAATGTAGATCTGGGTGTGTGTGTGGAACAGACTGTTTCTCAGGAATAGAATGTTGTCACTGTGTTTTGGCTCTGACAGCTTGTTTTCATGCCAAGTACCATACCGTTCCCCATCCCAGAATGCACTGTAGCATCAATAGGACACTTGCATGCTGGGTCATGAAGGACTGTCAACCGTGCGTGCATGTTACTGACAGAATTTGAAGGAAAGCATCTGTCTGTCTATCTATCTGTCTGTCTGTCTGTCTGTCTGTCTGTCTGTCTGTCAGTCCATCCTCTCTATTTTACTTTTTCTTAATATAGCCTTCTTTCTATTGTTCTTTCGTTATATCCGGTGCCAGTCCTACACTTCTAGCGGCCCTAAGCAAAACTGCCAGTAAGAACAAGTAATATTAAATTTTAAAAATTGTTGACAGCTAAATAAATGCTTTATGAAAGTATTGTTCTGACACCATCTAGCTGTCAAAAAAACTAGAACACACAGCTAAAATTATTTTCTAAAGGCGTGATTTACTTTAACGAAACTAAAGCATAAAAAATATAGTTTACCCAAGAAAGCTTAGGTAAACATACCAAAATACATCAATAATTCTCTAAACTTTAGACCCTAATGGGCATTGTTTCTAAAAGACTTGACAGGAGTCACAGGACAGCTTGCATGACTGAACAGGAATGTTTAATTCTTATACATAAACCATGCACAAGTTTTTTGCAAATTTATTGGTTTCTTAAGACTAAATAAGAATTTAAAATGTTACAAAAATACATACCTACTTTGTTCTTGGCACATTTTCTCTTTTTTTCTGCTCCGGACAGAAAGCTTCGGTTGGAAGCCATAGCCATATGTCAAAAACATAGACTGTAAGGACGACGTACCTTCACTCACTACCATTGTAGAGAAATTAAGTCGCCAATGTTTCAATATGGCGCTGACATCTTGCGCTGATTATGGAGGCCGAGTCTGCGCAGCAGTGAAGGGAGAAGCATCGAGAAGACTTAATCCTCACACTTAGTTTTCTTTAATTTACTTCTTAAATTTCTCTTTTTATGACAGACCGGACTGAAACCCACTCAAAACCTACCCTTACGCCTAAAAAACCCTTTTAATCTGGAACTTACATACTGAAACCCACCTAAAACCTACTCTTACGCCTGAAACCCACTCAAAACCTACCCTTATGCCTAAAAACCCTTTCAATCGCGGGGCAAAACGGGAATGGGGAGTCACAAGGTGACGTTTTGGATGTGGGTGGGGTTGGATGTCCACCGCAGGATGAAGCGAGCCCTACTTGCATTAGATTACATGGAGAGGGCGGTGTTTATGACCTACAGTATACTGCATCTAGCCACCTGGGGGCGATTGAAACATTTTGGCTTCAATTTTGAGGACTTGTGCGGCACACTTGGGCTGAATCCAAAATCGCCCCCCTAAACCCTCAATCACTATTCCCTACGTTAGCCCAATACGGTTCACTTGGAGTAAATGAAAACGAGTGAGCGAATTCGAACAGCCGTTGAGTACATCGGCTGTACTCTTGGTTTTGCAATGTGGGATAGAATAAGCGCACTCGACAACATCCACTATGGTCTAACATTTGAGGGTGATTTCGGGTTCAGCACCATAGTCATGTCATTATCTGCCGCACTGCATGATGTCCAAAACAGTTATTAAATAAATATAAATCGTTAACTAGAAAAAAGAAATTTCGACATGACTCGAATGACATGAATATATAGTGATATGCTACTTATATAATCTATGAAAGCAAGGGCGCCCCCTGGTGGTTCAGGGGCCATACGCACCTTGTGTAGTTTGTGTATAGGGAGGACCGACACTGGTTATCTTTTTTTTTTCTATCCTCCTTTCATTATATTCTCCTTTCTATCGATCATTCTCTTAGTCTGTCTGTCTGTCTGTGAGAGATTTTTGTGTTTGAGTTGAGTTTAAGAGTTTGAGTAGATTTGGGACGCCTTGTGGTTATATAAAGAGAACTGCTCCCCTGAGAAATGAATCTCTTCTGCATATTCAGATGTATCATCAGGAGAATCATATGATTCTGATTAGCGTTTATTTATGCTGCGGGTTTAGTGCATCATATCCGTACCTCATTAACATATCTTACATTCTTTGGAATAATGAGTAAACTCATTATTCGAACTGTGCCTCTGCATGTTGACTTGCAAATACTGAGATAAACTGCGTCTCTGGATTCTTCTGTGCTTGTCCTATCCCCCCCTTCTCTCTCTCTCTCTCTCTCTGTTTGTCTCTCGATCTCCCCCTTCTGTTGTCACTTGAGCTGCCATGTTTATTCCTCTGGGAATTTTACAGTGAGAGATTTTAGGTAATTCAAGACAAGACTTGTCCATGTCTACCACCACCTATGAAAATGTGCTAGATTTGCCAATGTTTTTTATGCATTTTGTTTCTGAAAAATATAGTGAATACATTTTTACTGAATATACAGAGTGACATTTCATTATGAAGCAGGGGTTTGTTAGAGTCCCTGTGGGTCTATAAAACTTGTGTTTTTCTGGGTTGATAGAATTTAAATTGCGTACATTTAGGGAATTCATTTAAATAATGTGTCAAGATTTGCATTATAATAAGTCAGTGACTTTTAAGCAGTGTTTTTAAGCAGTGTGTCAATTTGAGCAGAATTGAAAAGAACAGATAAGGTAAATATAAAAAATGTATTGGTCTGTATAGTATGTAATTTTTGATTCTCGTGCGCAGCTTTTGTTGAGAAATAAGCCATGTTCTCTTAATGATCTTGTCTGTCTTTTTCACTGTCTCTCTCTTTCTCTCTTTTTGTCTCCAAGGTTACAGCCTTTGGTGTGTGCACAACCCTCTAAGAAGCTGGCCCTCGATCAGGTGAGTGAATTTAAATCACTGTCCGTCATACTAGCACATCCTTGGCAGGTCTCTGGATATATTAAACTAATTTCCCTTAACCCTCAAATGGCCTCTGGCCCAGAGCTTCACTTAGTTTATCGCTGGTGCAGAAAAACTGCATTAAATTGACCTAGAAACGGGTTCTTCCTTTTCATGTTTAAATTATGAGAAGTATTTTGATCCGCCGAGCTTCTCCTAGATCAGCCGGCTATTTCTGCGGCGATACTCAAAGGCACCGGTTTGAGTTGGGCTATGGTAAGCTAATGTACTGCCTCAGACTGCAACAGAAAGTGGGCCGCTGACGTCTGGACTCTGAGGAGGCCTTGATGACACATGCTCTTTTCTCTCGGCTCCTACTGATCCCTCGCCGTCATTCTGGCCCGTAGACCGCTGGAGCTCTTCAGTGGCTCTGTCACTCCCTCTGTCACTCCCTCTGGCTGTTTCGTCCATGATGCTTCATCTTTCTGTATGTCAGGGACCTTGATCTTTTCTTCTGTCTTGTTTTTCCTATGTTATTAAGTCAGTCTGTCTGTCTGTCTCATGTCTACTACTTTTAAACTTCTGTGAGTGAGTGTGTGTGTATGTGTGTGAGTGTAAATACATAATCACCTCCACCTTTTGAAGCCAGAAGCAAAAATACTACCTCTGGGGGTCAATACTCAAGTAACTAAGCAACCTCTTGCCTTCACTTGGCAACAGGAAATGAAGCTTTGTGAGTGACATCACTCCCTTTGTCCCTCAGTAAAAGAAACGGTTCATAAATTCACTGACAAGGTTATCTGTTAACTCTGAAGCTAACTTGTAAAGATAAGTGTGATTCTCATTTAATTTAATGTAGCATTATAATAGAATCACACAGTCAAAAGGTTTGTTTATTGAGTACATTGAAGTCAACAAATTCAAATTGACATCCTTTATCTTATTATGCGCAAATCATTGATGCTCATTATTCCAGAGAGGAATCGTATTCAGAATTATTCTGAATTTTCAATCTTTTCAACCCTACATTTCTTTTCCCCTACTTGAATATGTTTTCACTTGGAAACAGGTTGGATGATGACTGATGCAAAAAGGAGCTGCGAATACCATTTCATGTTGACTTTTTCCTCTAGGATGGATCTGGTGCTCCAGTGGCCGCTCCTGCTGCCCCAACCCAGAATACTATTGTTGTAGAGAGCGGACCAGTGGCGTACGATGAGCCTGCAGATGAAGAAGAGGAGGATGAGGAGGATGAACACTGTGTCAGTGCCGTGCAGTTAATGGGCAGCACTGGTATGTGATGCAAAAGTCTTACTTTGACCTATAGGATGAATTTTTTTACTGTTTGTATAGACTTATTAATTTAGAACAATGTAATTTTATTATTATTTATATACTATTAGAGTATTTATTAATATGTTGAATTAGCTTTTATTTTTACATTTTCCGTTTTCATTTTAGTAATTTTGTTTTATTTAAAATATTTATATTTAGCTTTAATTTATTTTTATTTCAGTTTTAGTTTTGAGTATTTTTAGTACTTAAAAAAAGTTTTCATTGTTTTATCTTATGTGTATATTTTAATTTATTTGCAGCTGTATTCCAATTAACAAAAACTATTTTTAATAGTTTTAGTTAACAATAATAATACTGCTTTAGGGGTTTTCATCATTTTCTAACCAAATATAGTCCCTAAATATAAAAAAAAACCTAGATTTTCTCAAATAAACCTTATATTAACTTTTTTTTACGAAGAGCTTTAACGTTACTATTTGATGTGCTTAAAAGATTAAAAAAGGTTCCGTCATGAATATTTAGGAAACTATTCATACATAAACTTGGCTCCTTTTGACACTTTACGCTCTTTGTGTGATTTTTAGTAGTTCAGAAAAGAGCATTAAGTTTTGTCCTAACCTTTCTCCGTTCCTCTCCTTTCTTGTCTACAGATTATGGTTATGAATTAGATGATGATGATGGCTTCTGAATCCAGGGTGGGAGCACCAGTGGAGAGGACACACTAACATTTAGCCTGCTGCTTATTTTGACCCCAAAACACACATGCAACAACCTCCATCTCACTACTCCTGGTGTTCGTGCTTATGTTTGCAAGATGAAAAGAAATATTGTGAACTTTACACACAACAGAGGAGAAGAACTATAGCTAAACAAGAACAAAGACCCTACCTTCTTGTTTGTGCTTTTCAATAGGTGCATGTTCTGAGCTCATGTGCACTAAGTAACTTAAACACCATTTAAAACAGGAGTATGAGAGTAAATGGATGTGTGTGGTGACTGGGAGAGATGATTCTCTCTATCTCTCGCTTGCTAACTGCATTACTGTGTGTTTTAGGCTAATGATGACATATGATCTTGCACATCTAAAGCGATTAGCCCACACGAGGCTCAGGCCTCTGTGTGGACAAAAACGTGTGCATGTACACGTGCCTTTTACAATTGCAGTATACAGGCCTTGAAAAGTATGATGATTTTTAGAGCCAAAGTGTTATTCTTTAAACCAGATGTAGCTTTATGGTTTCAGAGTGGATTACAGGTGTGAAATCTGATTAGTGACAGTGTTAAATTTTGCTCAGCTACTTGGCTGGTTTCCTAGTGCCTTTTTTAATTTTTATTATTAAATTACCCACTGGTCTGTTGGATTTTCCATTTTGGGCTAGTTAGTTTTTTTTTTTAAACTTAAGAATAATGTTTAAAAGGTACTTTGATGAGAATAATAATTATTTTTGATTTGATGGTTGCTGCTTTTCTGGTTTATGGAGACCAGTACTTGAAAAATTCATTCCAGATAAATGCTGTTAAAATATCATTGGTTTGATCTTATTTTTGCTGTTAAATATTTACAAAATGCAATATAAATATATTTATGTTTTCGACAGATAAAGGAGATGTGTACATTGTTGGATTGTTTCTAAATGAATTGATGGTTTAGTATTGGTTTGTTAATGAAGAAGAAAATAGGATAGTTTTAGTAGTATTACTCATATTTGATTACTCAGTATCAGAAAGTTGGTGCTCTTCGAGAATGTTTTACTTTATTTATACTTTGTTCTCTCCCAGACTCAAAGATGAGTCAAATATAGAGTACACTTTTTTTTTCCTGTTAGAAAAGTATTTGAGGGGTTTATTCTGTCAGTCATGCCCACAACACACAGCAGATATTACTGATAAAAATGATCCAATTTAGGGTAACCATCTTAAACTGTTAGAAAATACAATAAAATAAAATAAAAACAAGGTGGACAGTGATCCAAAATTCTGATTAATCCATTGACCTGGTATTTGCATCCACAATCGATATAGTTAAATAAATGTTGATGTCTGTGAACTCTTGCTTGCATAATAAAACATTTATTCGGTATGTGAGTCCTCAGGATTCGGTATGCGAGTCCTCGGGAGTCCATTAGAGCCAGTGTCTTTTGGAACAGATTGGTTTGGTCTCGCTGCAGTAATGGTGACAATACAACAGACTCAAATCAGTGTTCAGTAAACCTAAATAGTATTTATGTGCAAAGAAATAAAGCGTAATCATAATACACTACGTCTTCTCTCTTTATTTTTCAGTGTGACCGCTGTGTATTTTTATTCTTTTTGTCTGCTTGCTGTCTGAGTCCTTCGACACTATGACCTAAGACAAGCTATCTTCACTGCCACTGGGTAAAACTTATTGGGAAAAAGGCAAAGAAAGAGTTGAGCATCTGTTTTTAGGTTCATGTGCTCAAGGCTGTTGTGTTTTAGTTGGCATAGAAACATGAGCAGTAATAACTAACTAAGATCCCACTGGATGAGACCCGTCTCTGCAGGGCAAGGGCTGCTGGGAGTTGAAGTTCTAAGGGTCATCTGTGTTTACTGGGTGTGACGGTCTTGCCTTAAAGGCTATTAAAATTTCTGAAAGGAAAAGAACTCTGCAAAAACAACTACAAAAAAGTGTTTTGTTACATACACTTTCCTTTGTGAAACTGTATAGTCTCTATATCTGACATGAAAAAAAAAATGTATTTAAATATTTAGCCTGTGATCCTAATGGTATTTGATGGTTCTGCATCCTTTGGGAGGAAATCTTGATCAAGATCCACACAGACCCTGAGTGAAATGAACGTGGTCAACTCACCTCTTCACACCTCTGTCTTTCTCATTATCTCTTTTTCACCGCTCTGGAACTTATTACTCTGACCTTTTGATATATCACACATTAGAAAACAGTGCTGATCAGAGATTGGGCCTGATGGGAGAGATTGTGGGTTAATCTGTTGAAGCATGTGGGAGAAACAGGATTTCCCATGATCGTGAGAAATGTGAGAAAATGAGCTGAGAGAGAGGGAATATTGATTGATTTTGCTAATGAGAGGATTTTTTTTTTTTGCCAGGCTGTTTAGGAATGAATGAATCTAATGTAGAATAGCCATGTTCAACACCGACACACACACTCAGGGCTGCATTTCCCAAAAGCATTGTAAGCTTAAATTGATCGTAGAACAATTGCCACGAAGGGTCTCTATGATCAATTTAGGCTTAAGATGCTTTTGGGAAATGCAGCCCAGGTCAGTTAACAGTTCCTGTCGACAAAAGAAGATGGGAAAAGTCTTTACTGTCTAAGGAAAAAGTGCAAACTACCTTTTTTTTTTTTTTTTTTTTGCAAGAGTTTTATGCTCTTCTTGATATAGCCTACACACTACAGGTTGTTATAGTAGAGGGCAGTGATGTTCAGAGTAGAGTCTTCAAACTTTACATTAAATATATACGAATCATAACGAATGTATGATGAAAATGTTGCAGATGTTATAAATAAAATAATATTTTAATTTAATATTAAATATATATTATATTCGCAGAATATCTGTTTATCTTTATTTATGACAGTGATTTTATGGGTAACGTTGGTGACGGAGCACCCTGGATCGTGATGATCGAGCTTTTATGACAGCAAAATATAAATTATGAATTTATGGTAGCCTTATTTAAAACAAATTATTTGTGAACAACTCGTCCACGGTTGCCACTTATAATAATTCCTAATTTACGCCTATCAATCTATTATGCCTTTCTCATTAAAAACATCGTTAGGCTATCATTTAAAACAAAATTAAATCAAATTAACCTGGATTTACCGCAACGCTTGGATTTAGCATTTAGCCAGTGTCCTATGATGATGACGTAAGCTACTCGATTCAAAGTTTCAAAAAGGAAAAGCTTTTGGTTTGGCGCCACTTTTTCTCTATTACCATCGCTTCTCTTCCCAAATGAGGTTCCGGTGTACGATAGAGAGATACACTTTTAATGAAAGTGGAACGTAAAGATCTTTACGAGCCGAAGTTGACTGAAAGTTCCAGGTAAAGAGGTTGATCGGTCGTGTAATCATGAGGTGTGCCCTCGCTGCATGTTAGAGAAACATAAGAAAGAGAGTTGATGTGGTTTTGATTTGAAATGGTAGACTGACAAAAAAAACAAAAAACTAATCATGTCATCGTGTTTAACTTAATTAACTATATAAACTATATAATTTTGTTTACACAAATTTATATTTTAAAAAACCTGCTAAATTTCTTTGTCGTTAAATTTGCACTCATTAATTTTACCCAAATAAGCTATTGCCTGACCAGTAGCCTACTTTTGAAAAATATTCATTATTGTAACGTTACTCGTCAGATAAATACTCCTACCAGTGCAAGTTACTGAGTGCACCTTGGGAGTAATAGTCAAGATATTTAAGCTTCTATTAGTAGCAATATTGAGTAAACCACAAAAGTAATTTTTTATATTGAAATATTTTTGTTTATCATTGCAAGCTGTTGAGTGACATTTGACTCAGTTTTAGGTTACGTGAATTACTCTTTTTCCAGTAACATCACTTCCAGTTTTTCTACTGTTTTCATAGCAGCAAAATGGCTGAATCATCTGATGATCAAAATCCCTTTCACTGTCCAATCTGTCTTCATCTTCTGAACAACCCGGTAACTACATCTTGTGGGCACAGTTTCTGTATGAACTGTCTTAATGAGTGCTGGGATCGAGACGATCAGAAGGGAGTTTACAGCTGTCCCCAGTGCAGGCAGACGTTCATCCCAAGACCAGCTCTCAGCAGAAGCACGGTGCTGGCTGAAGTTGTAGAGAGAATGAAGAGAGAAGCACCAGAAGCAGGAACAGCCTCTCCTGTTCTCAATTATGCTGCGTCTGGGGATGTGGAGTGTGATATCTGCATAGAGACCAAACTAAAAGCCATCAAGTCTTGTCTGGTGTGTTTGGCTTCTTACTGTGAATCTCACATCCAAACTCATTATACATCTCCTGCATTAAAGCGCCACAAACTGGTCAATGCCTCACCACATCTACTGGGCCAAATCTGCTCTCAACATGATAAACTACTGGAGCTGTACTGTTGCAAAGATCAGCAGCTGATATGTATGCAGTGTGCTTTGATCAACCACCAGAACCATAAAATGACTTCATCTTCAGCAGAAAGACAAGACATACAGGTAGGGCTATTGATTTGTCTGAATAACATTTTGTATCATTAAAAAGACTGTCAAATTTGACTTTACCTTCAATTCAACTGAGGATCTGTCTGGTTTCACACGCCAATGTGTCACACAATTAGTTGTCATCCACCTCTAACTGATGTGCTGGACAAAATTGTCACAAATAATAGTATTTCATTATTAAGACTAGTTTAGACTACGGTAGTTTTTCCACCAAGTATTATACTTGGTGGAAAAAACTCAGGAGTTGGTCAGAAACTCATCACATGTGACCTCACATACTAATGAGTTTAAAACACTTTAGTGCATTGAATGACAGAGAAGATCAGTAATATAGGAAAGTACTGTGAGTACTTAAGTAATAATCACTGGGATTATTAAAGGTGGGGTATGTGATTTTTCTTTTTTGACCATTTTTTTTCAAAATCACTTCAAAACCCACGTACAGCCACTGAGTTAGAAGCACTGAAATGAAAATTAAACAATTTAATCATCTGTGGTGATTTTCAATCAACTTGGAAAAACTCCAGCCAATCATTTCCAAGACCACCTAGAATCATTGACAGTAAGTGCGTCAATCAAACGGTCGTACCATTCCCCCTCCCCCCCCCCCCTCTTCGAATGGGTGGAGTGGGTGGAGTCAGGGCCAGCGTTGGAGGAAAGAAGGTAGGACCTTTTTAGTTGTGTATTTTCAAAATCTGCCGGCCGTTTTGCAAATCCCATACCCTACCTTTAATGTTTATTTTATATAAATGTTTTAAATAGACACTTAATTCTGATGTGTATTGGTTTTTTTTCAAGTGGTTAAAAATATAAGATCAATGTAATGCCCCAAATGTCTTTGAAAGAATGCATACTTTTCAATGTTTGGGAACAAATTTCATAACAAACATAAAATGTTACAGAAGCTTAATACCAGACTATTATAAATTCAGTCACAGGGACGGTTGAAGGAAAATTTGGATACCCTACAAATGGCAATGCAGCAGCGAGAAACAAAGGTACAGGAATTAAGACAGGCCGTGAACTCTCATAAGGTAAGTACATTGTATAACATCTTAAATTTGACCACAAAATACAACATCATCATTTATAATATGTTTATATATATATATATATATATATATATATATATATAAATTTTTTTTTTTTTTTTTTTTTTTTTTTTTTTGCTGTCAATTTGATTGTTTTAGGTGTAATTTCAGAGCCGACATTGTCTAGGGGTTACAGTCAGAGCTGAATCAATGGGGTGTTTCTTACAGCCTAAAGTTTTTCCTCTGTCATCTAACAGCTCTCTGCACAGGCAGCAGTGGAGCACAGTGAGAAGGTATTTACTGAGCAGATCAGCTCCATGAAGAAAAGACGAGCTAAGATAACAGAAATGATCAGAGCTCAGGAGAAAGCAGAAGTAAGCAGTGTTGAGGAACTCATACTAACACTGGAGCAGGAGATCAGTGATCTGAAGAGGAGGCGCGATGAACTGGGGCAGCTTTCAGAGGTGGAGGATGACATCTATTTCATTCAGGTAACAACTCTAACAATAAACAGACTCGGGTCTGCATCAAAAGTCATTGCTTGAAATGTTTTATTTATTGCTGCTTTTTCCATTGCAGAATTTCTCATCTCTATCCCACTACCAGATTTCAAATTTGTGCAACATCGCCGTCAGACAACATTTGACATTCAAGGAGATAGAAACAGTAATCTGTCTGCTGAAAAGTCAACTGGATGATCTCTGTGAACAAGACATTGTTCGGATATCAGAGAAAGGTGAGATGGCTTTTAAAGATGTTTAAATAAAATCTAATTATCTTTAACTGGAATTTAATTCCAAAGAGTTTCTTAAAAAAAAAAAAAAAAAGTTTAATTTTCTGTTGTCAAAATTAGGTAGATTTGAAGTATTGGTTATAATGTCTACCAAAACAAATCTTAGAGAATATGCAGGCAGATTGTCATAATCATGGAATGTTTTTTGTTTTTTTGCATATCTTAATAGTTCCCACTGTCCATATAATGGAGAATAATAAGAAGATCACAGAGTGTAAGTCAACTTATTTTTCACATTTAAAAATAAATAAATAAAAACACTCGCTCAAATATTCTTCATGTTTTTTTATTTGTTTAGATTTGCCATCTCAGCCCCAGACCAGAGAAGAGTTCCTTATGTGTGAGTTGCACTGTAGCTGTGTGTAAATTTCAGGAGTGAGGAAAAAATCATGCTGAAATACATATGTTTAATTCTTCTTTTATTTTATCAATAGATTCCTCTGAATTGATTCTGAAAAGCTCATCAGCCTGTAAGCAGCTCTCTGTACGGAACAAGTCTGTGTCAAGGCGTGAAAAGAAAAACGTTGACCCATACTATGGACGTTCATACAATGAAGCTACACCCACATACCAAGTGTTGTGTCAAAACTGTTTGTCTGGGCGCTCTTATTTTGAAGTTCAGTTTGGAGGAACAGGTGGTTCTATTGCGTTTTCATATGACAAGATTAGTCAAGGTGGAGGATCTGTTATATTTGGCTCAAACAACAGATCCTGGAAATTTGACTTTCCAGCAGCTACAATTTGTGTAAACCACAATAGCCAACAGACTAACATTAGCTTGGTCTCTAAAATTGGAGTGTTTCTCGATCAAATTGCAGGAACCGTGTCCTGTTACAATGTCTCAAGTGATAAAATGACCCTCTTACACAGAATCCAGACCACTTTTTCTCAACCACTCTACCCTGGGTTTTCATTTCAGGATTGGGGAAATGACTCATCTGTGACAATTTGTGATCTTCCTAAGCTAAATAAGTAAATATAATCTGTACTAACAGTGATAGATTCGTGAATGGAGACTAAATTCGAGGCAAGTCAAGAGAAATCACTGTTCTCATTCATCATTGTTAAAGCAAATTTTTAAATGCTGTTAATTTCATTAATCTTTAAAAAAAGGCTAGATTATGTGAATTAAGTGATTTTTTTATTTTTTATTTTTTAAGACATTGTTATGGAACTTAATTAAAAACTGTCATATGGGATGGTCTGTTTCTTTTCTTCCTGTTTTCTGTGAGATTTAAGTTTTAGATACAGTAAATTCCGCTCTATATCACAGTTTAACATTTGTTTAAATACGACTTTTAAAATAGTAGATTTAGGTTAAACTTCCAATGTGCATTGAATGTATTCTGAACAATAAATTACTTTTTTATACAAACTGAGAAATTGTTTGTAAATCTGTTACAAAAGAACCTTTAAGGGTTAATAAATGTAACCATTGTCAGAATTGTCTGCCTTGATTTTGCAGAATATTTTTGCATGTGTTATTTTTGCAGATACTTTTATTTGAAGTGACATGCAAATCAGGAATACTAACAAGCAACTAATCATTAGGAAATTGTAAAAGTAACTTAAAGCTTCAAATGTTACAAAGTAAAGAAAGCTCTCTGTTTCCTGTGGCAGGTGCCACCTGACCTTTGACCCCTTCTTACATCATATTTGTATTGTTTTCTATCTCAAAAGACAGATGTGTGTGTAAGAGGTCAGAGATTAAGAAAGCTTGGGGTGTACTGGGTGTTCTGCAGTGGTAGTACAATAGGAATAGCTTAGTAGAGACATCTTCTATACCACACACACTGGCTGTGGTCTGCTTTAGTCAGGGTGTGTAATAAGCGTGGAGGACCAGGGGTCGTACCAAACCTCTGTGCAGTCAGCATTCTTAGATTCCAGCACAACATTGCAGCACTCACACAAAATTTGATCAATATTTTGGCTCTAAACTGATACATGTGCACTGAGGCATTAGGGTATTATGAATTTGAAGCTGCTCTTAAAAAATGCATATAAAAAGCTCTATGCAAATAAAATTGGATTGACTTGACACTCTGAAACACAGATGGTAACACTCATTATCTCTCTCTCTCTCTCACCCACATACACGAAACAGTGACATAAAGGGAATAGGAAGGGCATTAAAATAGTCTTTGGTGTTTATATTGGAGCATGATAGCCCATAAATCAATCATACTCCTGCTTTGATCTGAGTTTGTGTTAGAGAATCCTGCTGGAAGAAAAGAGTTCTATTTTGCCTAAGGAAAACCATAATCAACGACAACATAATCACCGATCCGCTGGTTTCCACCCTGGCGTTCCTGAATAAAGACAGTAGCCTACACCTCACCAGCTACAGATTAAACACGCAAGAGCTTCAATTCGTCATCTTAGACAGACCCAAAACGGATAGTAGGCTACTGGACGGGTCTCAGGCTATAAGGAAAACTTGCATTACTTCTTTTTGCCGACCATTTAGTGTCTCATTCTATCCTGAAAAACCCTTTAATCTCAGATGACATTTTGATTAAAGTAAAATTACAGTGTCTTCCAACGAAGTACAATTTGGCAATATGGTATCCATTAAATCATGAAACTTACTGTATATTACATCCAACTCAGCAGGAAAATGAAACGGTTGCTCATATATTAAATGGATGCTACAACTATAAAGGACTTTATGTGGCCAGACATGACCGTCTGGTTGTTCTTGCTGCAAAGGACTTTCAAAAGGTAACCTGTGGACCAAATAGTGAGATTTATAAGCATAGCACTGTACAAATTAACTGGTTTCATCCTAACACATCCGACAGTGATTACTTTAGAAACATTCCAAATACTCTTGACATCGTAATTGTAAATGATGTTATGAAATCTGTATGTATCCTTGAAGTGGCTTGTTGTTTTGACATGTATATGGATACTTGCCACTATTCCAAATTATTGAAATATCAACCAGTGGTATCTTATTTACCAACTTGGATACAACTGTAAATTTATAATTCTGGTAATTGGCAGTTTAGGCCATGTCCATAAAAGTGTGATCAGGGGGATGCAGTTAGGAGGGCCGCAAAAAAAGGAGGCAAAAAGGCTTGCAAAATTCTGCTCTGTTTCAGCCACCATATAGCATGCAGATATGGAGACGGAGTTGTTTTGTTTATCCTTGATGTGTCAAGTATTATAAATGAAAAGACCTGTACAAGTATGTGACGTGAGCCATGAATTGTAGATCTGTCACCTTGTCAAAGACCCTTCCCAGAGTATTTGGATCTTGTTTTAAAAAAAAGGATGTTGCAGGTGGCAAATTGAAAGGAATAATAAAACTTTTTGTTTGTGCAGCTACACCTGCTGGTCAAATGGAGGAATAGAGTCCCTTATTGAGTCTCTCTCTCTCTCTCTCTCTCTCTCTCTCTCTCTCTCTCTCTCTCTCTCTCTCTCTCTCTCTCTCTCTCTCTCTCTCTCTCTCTCTCTCTCTCTCTCTCTCTCTCTCTCTCTCTCTCTCTCTCTCTCTCTCTCTCTCTCCTAATATATATACAGTATATATATATATATATATATATATATATATATATATATATATAAATAATTCTAAACATGATCACTCATCTTTTGTAAGGTTCTCGCTTTGTGAAGAAATCTGCATAAATTGTCATCTTTTCATATTCAAATAAGGCCCACTGATCGTTAAACCCATGAGGGGTTAATGATGAGAGAAAGCTTGTTAAGGCCAGGCCAATTAAACTGCTGAAAAGTCCCTGTAGAAGAGCAGTGTGCAAAGCAGGGCAATTAAAGACTAATTAGCAAGAATTTTCTTAATTAATTCCAAAAGGGCACATGTGCGTGAGACCTCCCAAATGATGGTTACTCTTATAAAATCCCAAACTGTGTACATAGAAAACACGTACATCCTCATATCTTTCACTCAGTTCTCAGAAAATGGGTCACAATCAAAGAGAAACTGGAAAATAGAAGCACAATGAAAGATTTCTGCTCAAAGATCATTAGAATTAACCACCAGAGACTTGCACTTTCTAACAGCTGTCCTGGGATACTGTACAGACTGATATACTGTATGTGCTAAATTAAGATTTTAATAAGATGATTATAAGATGAGATATCGAGTGTGATCTTATTTGACAAAATACAGAACATCTAAAAGCTCCAGGCATGATAAAATCATTTTAAAACTGATCTTTGGTTTTATTTTTTATGATTTATTCCTAACAGCTTTGGCTGATATTGACAACAGAGCTGCAATGGACGCTTCTTCATTGTGTGGATCATGTTTGAGGAATTTATTAGCCTGTGTGGCAGAAGAACATCCATAACTACTATTTTCGATCTATTAGAAATCAATTGAAAGAAAATGTCAAAATGACTTAATATCATGCTGGCAATAAACTTGCAATCAGTTAAAGGCATCATATATGCTAAGCAGAGCATGAATATTTATTTAAACTGTGTTTAAAAGTTTGGTTGGTTGGTGTAACATTGGCAATGTTTTTCATACTTTTTTAAAAATAATTTACATTTACATTTATTCATTTAGCAGACGCGTTTTATCCAAAGCGACTTACAAATGAGAACAATAGAAGCAGGACAACAATAATGCAAGTGCTATGACCCTTCCCAGTTTAATCTAACGCAGTACATTTTTTTGAAGATAATAGATATAGAAGATAAAGTTAGTATTAATGGATCAGGTGTTGCCGAAAAAGATGCGTCTTCAGCAGTTTCTTGAAAATGGCCATGGACTCAGCAGCTCTGGTTGAGTTGGGCAGGTCATTCCACCAGCATGGAACAGTCCAGCTGAAGGTCCGAGAAAGAGATTTTGCGCCTCTTTGAGATTATGCACCACAAGACGGCGTTCACTTGCAGAGCGCAAGTTTCTGGATGGCACGTATAAGTCTGAAGTAGAGAGCCAGTGGTTGTTCTGTATAGGCAAAAGTCAGTGACTTAAATTTGATGAGAGCAGCAACTGGCAACCAGTGCAGTTTTGTGAGGAGAGGAGTGACGTGTGCTCTCTTCGGCTCGTTAAAGACCACTCTAGCTGCAGCATTTTGGATCAGTTGCAGAGGTTTGACAGTGCAAGCTGGAAGACCGGCCAGGAGAGCATTACAATAGTCCAGTCTGGATAGAACAAGTGCTTGGACAAGGAGTTGTGTAGCATGCTCTGATAAGAAGAGCCTATCAGAAAATGGTTGATGGACCTATGGTTGAAACTCTCTTCACATCCTGATAGCAATCAATAATAGAAGTGGTCTAAATATAAATAGGCCATATGTATCTCTTCTGTGAAAGTCTCAGGATCAAAAAATGTTTGTCCAATCATTGAATTCGGTCCAAAATAATTGAATATGGGTACATGTTTATTGCAATTCATTGTCGTTTTACATTCACAGACTGTTGTCTTGAAAGCTTTTTTGTGTGTTCCTCTATAAATTATGCTAAGAATAGTGAAGGGGTGGATTTACATATAGTTATCATTATATTTGTGGTAGATAAATAAAATAATGGTTTTGCAGTTATATTTGTGTTGGATATACGAAGAGTTCAGATGCAAAAGCCTCTAAGTGCCATCTGAAATTTTCTTCTAGAATGATCATTTTTATTAAGCTCGTATATTTAAGTTCAGTAATTTCACTTAAATGGCTATGAAAATTACCTATTAATTGTCATTTAAGTGAAATTATTGAACTTAAATAAACAAGCATGATAAAAATGATCATTCTAGAAGAAAATTTCAGATGGCACTTAAAGGCTTTTGCATCTGAACTCTTCATCTGTTTTCTCAGAGACCGTGCAATGTGACACATTTGTGATCATGAAATCATGAAATTATTTATCGTACAGACAGTGATTTACATCGTAACACTACATTATTATGTGGTCAGGTAATAATTGGCTTTTGCGTAAAAGACTGACCGTAATACTGCGTTTTGGAGCCAGACAATTTAAAATCCTACTTAAAAGACACTTCTCGGTTCACACACACTATTAAGTTAATCCATATCCAGACGTGCAGACACACACACACACACACACACATTCTGAAGTCAAAACAGCTGCCCTATTATTGCAATACCCACCTTCACAGATCTCTCTAAGCACAGAGAGACGCTGC